GGCTGAACCAGGACAGGCGCGAGGCGGCATGAGAGCATATGGAAGAGGACCTGACCAAGTCTGAGGATCAAGGAAGTCTTCCCAGGGGACATGCCATCCTGGATATCTAAGGTGGGTAAGACTGCTAGGCAGTAGGGTAGGGAGGCGGAGCAGGCACGGCGTTGCAAGCAGGAAAACAGCAGGAGCAGCAACAGTGCGACGGGAAGGAGCATTTGTCCCTTTGTCCCTTTAAGGATCAAGGGTGATAGAGCAGTTACGCAAAAAGGGGCTGGAAAAGTGGGCAAGGGCAGACAGTGCTGGGCCTTAGTCTTTATTCTAAGAAGTTTTCGTCTTTCTTTCTTTGCTTAGAAAGAATGCCACTAACTCTATGATGCTTTGCAGTTGATAATGCATTGTTGCCATCATTTTAACAACCTGTGAGGTCAGTAATAGTTCTCCCAGCCGAGAGAACTGAGGCTTTAAAAAGTTAAGTATTTTGCACTGTCATTAAGTAGTAAAGCTGGACTTGAACCCACCTCCACCTTATGCATAGTCACAGTCATTACCAAAATTAGGCATAACCAAATGAATAAGCTGTATCACCACAGGTTTTCTTCAAAAAGATTTCAGTAATGTTGTATTTAAGCATTAATACTAGAGGCTAGTCCAAAAATGTGCACCACGTAACAGAAAATGCTAATATTTGTTCCCCCCCTTACTTTATAGCATGCATTCTCAATTGGGAATGTGGGGAATGTTGTCCTCAAGGGGACAAAATTGGTTCTTAGGGGGAGTAAGAAAAAAAAATCTTGGATATTAACAATGATTAGTGGCACACCAAAGTTCAACCCCACCCAACAAAATCTTACTTATTTCTTAATACTGTCATGTGTTGCTTAATGACTGGGAGACGTTCTGAGAAATGTGTTATTAGGCAATTTCATCATTGTTCAAACATCATAGTGCACTAAATACAAACCTAGATGATACTAGTACAGCCTCATATACACCTACGCCACAGGAGCACCTGGGAGATATTGCAGGTTCGGTTCCAGACCGCCACAAAACAGCGATAACACAAGCGAGTCATAATCTTTTTGCCAGTGAGGGGCTTGCCTTCAGTTTGTAAAAAAATGCAACACCTGTTAAGTACAACAAAGCAAAGCCCAGCCCTGACCGGTTTGGCTCAGTGGATAGAGCGTCGGCCTGTGGACTGAAAGGTCCCAGGTTAGATTCCGGCCAAGGGCATGTACCTTGGTTGCAGGCACATCCCCAGTAGGAGGTATGCAGGAGGCAGCTGGTCGATGTTTCTCTCTCATCGGTGTTTCTCTCTCATCAATGTTTCTAACTCTCTATCCCTCTCCCTTCCTCTCTGTGAAAAATCAATAAAACATATTTAAAAACAAAAACAAAAAACAAAGCAAAGCCCAATAAAATGAAGTATGCTTGTACTAGTAGATGGTATAATCCCGTGGTCGGCAAACTGCGGCTCGCGAGCCACATGCGGCTCTTTGGTCCCTTAAGTGTGGTTCTTCCTAAGCCTTAGTAGTACCCTAATTAAGTTAATAACAATATACCTACCTATATAGTTTAAGTTTAAAAAATTTGGCTCTCAAGAGAAATTTCAATCATGGTACTGTTGATATTTGGCTCTGTTAACTAATGAGTTTGCCGACCACTGGATAACCTATTGCTCCTATGCTACAAACTTGTACAGCATGTTACTCTACTGAGTATTGTAGGTAATTATAATACTAGAGGCCCGGTGCACGGATTCATGCACCAGTGGGGTCCCTCGGCCTGGCCTGAGAGGATTGAGCAGAAACTGGCTCTCTGACATCCCTCAAGGAGCCCTGGATTGTGAGAGGGTGGTTTTCAGGTGACACACCCTGGAATCGGGCTCCCTCCTCTCTGGTTCCAGGTGCGTCAGAGGGTTGTGGCTTTGATCCCCAGTGTTGGATGTGCAGGAGGCAGCCAATCAATGAGAATTATTGATGTTTCTATCTCTCTCTCCCTCTCCCTTCTTCTCTGAGATCAATTAAAAACATATTTTTAAAAAAGAGAGACAGAGAGAGAGAAAGGAAAGGAGAGAGAAAAACATTGATTGGTTGCCTCCTGTATGTGCCCCAAATGGGAATTGAACCTGCAACGTAGGTATGTGCCCTGACCAGGAATCAAACCCACAAGCTTTTTGGTGTATGGGACAATGCTCTAACCAATTGAGCAACCTGGCCAGGGCATAAGTTAATTTAAATTTAAGTTAATTTAAATTTAATTAATCTCAGGAGAGGCACTAATTTAAAAAAAGTTGAGAAACATTGTTCTATAATAATGAACGTCCAAACTTTAGTGGATCACCAGAATAAAGGTCACATTTCTTAACCTGCCCTGCAGATAGGTATGGCAATGTGACTAAGTTCTGGCTTATAGGAGATGATGGAAAGTGATGAGTACAATCCCAGGATGGGTCTAAAAATGAGGAACAGTCCCTTTTCTGCCTTCCCACCATCCTGTACTTGGAAAGCAGACATGGTGGCAAAGCCCCTTGGGCCATTTGCAAAAGTGCAGCAACCTGGAGATGGCAGTGAATCAATGAGATAGAACCTAGGAGACCTCATGGAGCAGAACCACCATACACACTCTAATCAACCTGCCTCTTTCAAGGAGAAATGCATATATCTTAATTAGCCACTATTAATTTGGGTTTCCATTACATGCAACTGATCCCTTACTCTTCTTTTTTTTTTTTTTTTTTTGAGAGAGAGAGAGAGAGAGAAAGGAAGAGAGAGAAACATCGATATGAGAGAGAAACATCAATTGGTTGCCTCCTGTACACACCCCCAGAGGGGATCAAACCAGAAACCTGGGTATATGTCCTAACTGGGAATTGAACCTACAACCTTTCAGTGTACAGGGACAATGCTTCAAGCAACTGAGACACACCAGCCAGAGCGTTACTCTATTTTTGTTTTGTTTTTTAAATTATTATGGTAAAAAAAATGCATAACATGAAATTTACAATTTTAACAATTTCTAAGTGTACAGTTCAGTAGTCTTAAGTATATTCACATTATTATACAACAGATCTCTAGAACTTTTTCATTTTTCAACACTGAAACTCTAAAACCTACTAAAGACTAATTTCACCTCACCCTCTTTCCAATCCTTTGGCAGCAACCTTCCTATCTTCTAGATTTGACTTTAAATACTTCAGATGAATATTTCTCCTTTTGTGACTGGCTTATTTCACTTAGCATAATCTCTTCAAAGTCCATCCATGTTGTAACATGGGACAAGATTTCCTTCTTTATTAAGGCTGCTTAAAGTTTCATTGCTTGTATATACCACATTTTCTTCATCCATTCATCTGTCAGTGGACATTTGGGTCACTTCACCTTTGCAAATAAGGCTGTTGTGAATAATGCTACCATGAATATGGGTTAGCAAATTTCTCTTGGAGATCCTTCTTTGAATTCTTTTGGGCCTATTCCCAGAAGTGGAATTGCTGCATCGTATGGTCATTCTATTTTTAATGTTTTGAGGAGCCTCTCTATTCTTTTTCATAATGGAAGCACTATTTTACATTCCCGCCAATAGTGCACAAGGGTTCCACCTTCTCCATATCCACACCAACAGTTGTTATTTTCTAATTTTTGATAGTGGCATCCTGATGAATATGAGATAATATATCATTGTGGTTTGGATTTGCATTTCCCTGTCTTTTATAATTATGATGTTGAGCATTTCATGTGCTTATTGGCCATTTGTATATCTTCTTTAGAGAAATGTCTATTCAAATTTCTCTCCCTTTTTAAAATCAGGTTTGTTGTTGTTGCTGCTGTTGCTATGTTGTAGAATTTTCTTATAAATTCTAGGCCAGTGATGGCGAACCTTTTGAGCTTGGCGTGTCAGCATTTTGAAAAACCCTAACTTAACTCTGGTGCCGTGTCACATATAGAAATTTTTTGATATTTGCAACCATAGTAAAACAAAGATTTATATTTTTGATATTTATTTTATATATTTAAATGCCATTTAACAAAGAAAAATCAAACAAAAAACGATTTCACATGTCATCTCTAACACACGTGTCATAGGTTCACCATCACTGTTAGGCATTAACTCCTAATCAGATATATGTTTTGCAATTATTTTCTCCCATTCCATAGGTTGTTTTTTTCACTCTGTTGATTGTTTTCTTTGATACAAGCAAATAAGTTTTTAAGTTTGATGTAGTCCCATTTGTCTATTTTCAACTGATCCCTTATTCTATAACTAATTCAACCATTAAAAATAACAATAGCCCTAACCGGTTTGGCTCAGTGGATAGAGAGTCGGCCTGCAGACTCAAGGGTCCCAGGTTTGATTCCAGTCAAGGGCATGTACCTTGGTTGTGGACACATCCCCAGTAGGGAGTGTGCAGGAGGCAGCTGATCAATGTTTCTCTCTCTTTGATGTTCCTAACTCTCTATCCCTCTCCCTTCCTCTCTGTAAAAAAAAAAAAAAAATCAATAAAATATATTTTTTTAAAAATAACAATAAACTGTAGCAGCGATGGCATAAAAAACAAAGGAAGCTTATCACAGTAGGAAATGACTTGGTCCTGGAGGAAATTATCATAGGTTAAGAAAAAATAACTCAGCCATATATTATATAAATAGTAAGGAAATTTGAAGAGTGTTTTACTTATCTGGACTTCAGTATTTCCCATCTGGAAACCACATTTCCAACTCTTGTTGTATGATATCATTATATAACCTATTCTTCACCCTAGGTGAGCAGCTGTGAGTGTACTAAAGGCTGCCAGTGATACTGGTTTCACATCCCTTACTATAAACCACCCATTTATGTGAAATGGATATAAATCATGCAGAAATTCCCTTGGATCTGAGAGTAGGGTTTCCCCTAGCACAATTGTTTGTGGGCAGTTTAGCTAGATCAGCTAAGAATACTAGCCAATCAGAGTTTCGGAGGGAAAATGTTTTCCTATATAAATACGATTTTCAATAGCATGTTCTCTAAACAATTTCCCAGGCTTGAATTCCAATAGAGGAGTGACTCAGTAGAACTCCATTCTACCGCTATGAAGAAAAGTGGTGTTTCTCTCCTTCTGGGTATCATCTTCCTGACTCTGATTGAAGTTCAAGGTAAGGGGTTCTGATTCACATTAGGTTAATAAACTCAGAGATGTAAATGGCTATAAAAGCCTCTTGAATTGCCCAGTAGAGATGACTGCATGCATCAGAAAGTGGTGAGTCACTCATAAAAGCTCATTGATGTGGTTGATTATCCCAAGTTCCTATCTTAGACTTGCCAAATCAAGAAAGTCTTCTCAGTCTTGGTGTTTGAACTCCTGGCATGTTGTAAATGTTCAATAAATGTTTATTGAACTGTAGATAATGAGATTAAAGACTCTCAAGTTATTTTTTTTACCCTAATATTTTTTCTTGATAAGTATTTTTGTGCTTCATCAATTAAAGATCCAATAATCAGAGACATTGTTCTTAACTTGTTTCCTGTTGGCCTTTGTTACCTTAAGCAAATTAGTTAACTTTTCTAGACTTCAGTTTCCTCAGCTGAAAAATGGATATTTTATAGTTATGATTTTTCTGCCTCATGAGGTATGGCATATAGTAAGCACTAAGTAAATATATGATATATGTTGAATAAATGAAAGAATTAAGGAATGAAGATAGTGTATTTTAAAGAATTTCCAAAAGTTTAAAGCACTATTGAAAAGCAAGGCAGTGAGGAGGAGGAGGATGGTGGTGGTTACTGGTTATTATATGTAGAGCTTTCTGTCTAAACCAACACCAACTACAAGGTCATGTAATAAAACAGCTTTGGAAATGCTTAGGAAACTGTGGCCCACATAGCACCCATGAATTAGGTATCCATGTGTCTGACCTGCAGTAGGCATTTATTAAATATTGTGAAAATCTTTTTTCCTAAGGTTGTAGAATATGGTAGTTAAGAGCAATGCCTTTGGATTCAAACTCTTTCCCTGCCCCCTAAAAGCTGAATGCCTTTGTTCTTTACTTCTTTGAACTTGAGCTTCTTTGTCTATAAAATGAAAGTGATACCTACTTCAAAGTTTGTGGTAATGATTATTAGAAACTCAGGAAATGATAGTAATAACCATGATTAAGTCAAATGTATCATTTTGATGGATCACCTAAATTGAGACATTGCCCTAAACCAGCGTGTGCTACCCATTCCCTTTCTCTTAGGAGTCCCAATAATGAAGAAAGGACGCTGTTTCTGCATCAACACCAACCAAGGGATGATCCACCTAAAATCCTTAAAGGACCTTAAACAGTTTTCCCCAAGTCCTTCTTGTGAGAAAACTGAAATCATGTAAGTAAAATCTCATCCAACATGCATGCATCTTATTGGCAGGAACATTAAATTTAGTGTGATTATTACCCTCGGAATTCTTGCCTATACAGACACTTAAAATTCAGATGGTTGCTCCTCTGCAAATCTTGCCTACTTCTTGCTTTTCTAAAAAACAAACAAACCCAAAAACAAACAAACAAAACAAGCCAACAACCAACAAGTAATTTCTGGTGGGGGTTAGGAACAAAGACATATCACAAAAGTAATATATGTTCATTGGAGAAAATATTTAATGCAGATAACCCAAAAGAAAAAAAATAAATATTATTTATAATGCTACCATCCAGTGACAAATGCTGTTAATCTCTTGGTATGTGGTTTTCCAGATCTCTCTCATTTGCTTTGTGTGTACATATATAGACACAAAAAATATATACATATATTTATAAATACAATATATATGCACACAAAAATAAAATCATACCCTACATACTGTTTTTTCATTAATACTATATCATGAACGTTTCTTCATGTCAGTACATCTTCTGTCATAATACCATCTTTTTCTGATAATGTCATTCTTAATGGTCAAATTATATTCCATCATATGCATGTATCATAATCTGTATAACCAATGCTAATTGTAGGTTATTTTTTATTTTTTCCTATTGAAATCAAACTCTTATTATGGCAATATTGTGTCTTGAATTCTTTCCTACTAATAATACCTTTCTAGAGATTAGAATTGCTAAGTTAAAGTACATGTATACTTAAGTTTTTTGAAGCCTAAATTGAGAATGATATATAGACTAGCTATTCTTATTCTCAGATTATATTGATAAATTAAAGAAAAAAACATCTTTGAATTATTCAAGGAGAGTATGCTGTAATTTAACAAAATTCAAACAGTCTGTTAATCTTATCTTAGGATAACATTTTATTATGTTTTAAGTAGTTTCATTAGAAAATTTGGCAAAATTTATGCTGATATTCATTGTTTCTGAGGAAAAAAAAGTAGGTATATTGATAACATTTCTATTTTGCTTCTTCAGTTAAGCTTAAATAGCTATTTCCAGGACAAAATAATATCATCTTTAGATATGTGTCTCTCATTGCATATACCTGTGGGATTTTTAAATTTATGGTTATGTGCTATCCTAGAAATTTATCTAAGTCCCTCATTCGATTAGAAAGGAAAAAAGACTGGGATTCTCAGATGCTTATAGTGATGACACAAGTACACTCTAATTGGGGAATTGAATTCTGAGGATAAGATGAAGTATTTAAATTATTAAAAGTTAAAATATTTTTTAAAAAGTTAAAATCTTGTTGCTATTACCTTGGCAGCGCTACAATGAAGAATGGGACTCAAACATGTCTAAACCCAGATTCAACAAATGTGAAAAAATTGATGAAAGAGTGGGAGAAACAGGTTGGTGAAAAGAAGAAACAAATTTTTTTTTTCTCTTAGAAATTAACTTTGGAAGACAAAGAATCTATGTAGTTCCTTTAAAGGTACATTTTTAAAAATTCATATTATTGTATTCCTGTTTTGTTACTAGAATGATGTCCTCACTTTGGTATCCTATCTGATAAAGAGGGGATATGCTAATTGACTGCCCTGCCCTCAAAGATGGCAGCACCCACAGCCAATAAGGAGGGAATATGCTAATTGCCTACACCGCCCTCAAAGATGGTGGCACCATCTTTAAGGAGGGAATATGCTAATTGACTGCCATGCCCTCAAAGATAGCGGCGCCCACAGCCATAAGATGGCTGCGCCCAGTCCCTTCAGCCCCGCAGGGCGGCAGGTGTGCGGCAAGGCCGGGTCCAGGCAGGCCCAGCCTTGCCGTGTGCCTGCCTCTGGAGTCCCCCAGTCCCCTCAGCCACCCAGCGCCCAGGGCCGGCCCGAGGTGCAGGCAAGCCTTGGATGGCAGCTGCCCAGCCACCCAGGGCCACCAGAGGCTCAGGTAACCAGAGCCGGCTGAGGCTTGCGCTGCCAGCAGTGGCAGCAGCAGAGGTGTGATGGGGCGTCGCCTTCCCCTGATCGACAGGTCACCTCCCGCCCCTGAGGGCTCCTGGACTGTGAGAGGGGGAAGGCCAGGCTGAGGGACCACCCCCCTCCAGTGCATGAATTTTCATGCACCGGGCCTCTAGTATAATTATATTCCTGCATAGAGTATCACTTGTCTATTGCACCACTAGAATGTGGGTTCCATGAGCAAAGGGAGCTTATCTTTCTTATTTAACACAATGAATATGTATTTAAATGAATAGTAGACACTGAGAATAGAAAGGTAATAAGATAGTACCATCCTGCTATAGCAAATATTCTAACAATAAATTAAAGTACAATTTCAAATATTAAATAAAAATATGTACAAGAATCTTGAAGATTATAGAAGAAGGAATAAGTAGTTTTTCTGAAGGGAGGGGCAGGGAGAAACTATTAAGGAAGACTTTTCATATCAGGTGACATTTGATTTAGGTCTTGAAGGATAAGTAGTTCACCAGGAGGGCAAGGACATCATGAAAGATAGAATCATGAGAGAGCTTGCTGTGTTCAGGGAGCCTCTAGTGATGTGGGTGGAGTTTGTATGGAGGGAATTAAGGGATTGAGGTAAAAGAATAGACCAGGACAGAGTGGGAAGAATCCTGTATGACATGCTAAGGAATTATGTCTGAAGAGGGACACAGAATATGTAGTTGGGAGTGTAGCTTTTGGAGTCTGATAGACAGTGGTTCTGCCACATACTAGCTATGCAACTTTAGGCAAGTCGCACTCTCTGAGCCTCAGTCTCCCCATAGGTAAGAAGTAGATGATACTTAAGTAGAAGACTTAAGTATATATGTACTTTAACTTAGCAATTCTATCCTCCAACATCAGAAAGTTGTACTTGGGACAGTTAAGTCATAAGCAAGATTGGAGGGTAGTAATGAGCCAGGAGAATGGACAAGAGAAGACCAATTAGAAGGCTGTTGCCTCCTCCTCAAAGTGGGTGAAGTAGAAAGAATTAAAAGGAGCCCCTGTGAGAGTAAAGCACTTTAAACCTGTTTTGAGGATGAAGAAGGACCACAGTCTAGAGAGTTCAATTATAATATAAGAAAGGGAAAATGGTAAGATGAAGAAACAATGTCTTTCCCCCCCCTCTCTTTGCAGGTCAGCCAAAAGAAAAAGCAAAAGAAAGAGAAAAAAAAAACATCAAAAAAAGCAGGGAATTCAAAAAGTTAAACGATCTCCACGTCCTCATCAAAAGAAGACTATGTAATTGACAGCTTTACCGACAAATATTTCCTGTTTAAAATGTTCTTTTTAATTATACTGAAATAATTCCAGCACCTTAATCCATAAGCTTGTTGATCTGACTAGAAATTATAAAGCATCATTATGAAATTGTAATTGAAGCTAAAAAGTAGCTTTTAAAATCCAAATGTTAAGAATTGTTAGAGGCTATAGTTTGTCTCATTCTTCCACCTACAGCCAGCTGAATTTCATCATGTTTAAGAGCAGGATCTTAGTAACACCCACATGTGGACAGATGGCCACACAACAGCTCATACACAACAGCTGCCTGGGAGAGCAGCCTTAGGCTTCCCAGACCACAGCCTGCAGTTTCTAAGTGTATTCTGAGGCACATGTCAGCAAGTGCCAGCTTGTCAGCTTGCTGATAAGCCAAGCAGTTTGGAATTGAGCTGGACCTCACTAAGCTGCCATGGCCATCAGCATCTGTATTTGAATCCGCCTACAGGCCTCACAGGCAATGTATCTGAGAGGTAAATGCTGGTAGTTTCTGGGAACCAACACTGGAGAACACTAGCACTTAGCTTTCAGAACCTCCCATCTCACTTTTGAGGCCATGTGACTCCATCTTACCTGCCCAGGCTGTCCACTTGGTTTCTGTTGTTCCCCTTTGCCTCAGCCAAGCCAGTTCCTCACTGTCCGACCACAGTTCAGTGCCTGCCTCCTCTACTGTGCTGACCTGGTCTACTCTCTTCTCATTATTTCCCCAACACCCCACAGGAATGCCTTCTTCTCCCCACTCATCTTCACTTTACCCAGGCTTCAAGATTCAATTCAATCCTGCCTCTTAAATAAAACCTTCTGGACACTCAGATTATCTCAAAACCCTATTTCACATGTGCTCCACACCACACAGGTGAGCACTTCATTATTTTCTAATTTTTGTGTGTGTTTTTTTCTATCTCTCCAGCTCCTTAAGGGCAGGAGCCAAGTTTATTTCCCTGAATCTGCCACTGTGCCTCATATACTGTGGGACTAGATTTTGAATGATTCCTTAATTGCAGTTGTTACACGTAGGAGGGAAGCCAGGCCATCCCCTCAGAGCAGGAGCTGGCTATCTGTAGCAAGATTCAATATTGAGTAACCCCTGGGTAAATTCATTATCTTCAGGCCATTATCCCTGAAAGCACCCGGGGTGATGCAACATCCTTGTCTTATGACAGGATGTTAACTTGGCCTCTTGAGCAGATAAGAAGGAAATGTTTAACCATTTATGGAAGTTCTGAACTGTTTTCATAAAATATACAGGGAACCTAGAATCACAGAATCTTACAAGGAGCTTTATAAATCAACCAGTGTCAAAACCTTCACCACCCCATGCAAATTCCTTCAGTACAATTCCTGACAAGCCTCGGTTTTCTATGATATGACAAGAAAGCCACCAACATCCTTTTGAAAACTCATTTTAGGTAAATATGAATGTCCTTGTCATTAAACTTTTCTCAGAGTTGGTAAAATATTGTGATTACTGATTATTTCACCAGGTCTCCTGAAGAAAGGTGATGTTAAGATACCAAGAGCTGGAGGGAGCAGCAAATTCTGTTAGAGGAGACAAGACCAGTGCTCACATAGCTTCCGCAGGGCTTGGAAACTCTCTTAAAGAGGAGGTTTGGTGAACTGTGTAGGACAGGATGTCTTTTGCCAGAATTTAAACAAATGCCTTCTTGCAAATTTTGTTACTCCTTACCCAACAGATGATCTTCAGTGCTGCCCAGTGGTGATCCCACCCAAGCAATATCTGATCTAATCATGAAACTAGCTCCTTCCATGTACATCCTTGAAAAACCTAAATGTTCCCTAATTTGAGAGTTTTGAACCAATTACTACACAACTCACAGGTAAAGTGTAGTGTATAACTAATAATCAGAAACCACATTTTATAACATATAAGTGCATGATATTCATCATTTACATATACATGTATACTCTCTAAGCAAATAAGTTCAAAGCAGTATTGGCATATATACCTTATACTCTGAAATAATTTCTTTGTTAAAAGATGGTATCAATAAATGGGCCATTAATCAGAAAACAAGTCTTGATTGTTTTAATGTCTTGAACATACACTTCAACTATTGCATGCTTAACAGTAGTTCTCACATGTCTTTATTGATTTGCTTTCATCTCAGATAAAAGATAATGGAGATAAAGACATGGAAGCCCTTTAAAGGGCTCTTTGGGGACAGAAAAAAAACTATGGAAAATGTGACAACAATGCCTCATTATAACAACATTGACGGATAAGAGTTACATGAAATGAAATTTATTGTCTAATTCTGAAGGATAGTCCTAGCCCAATCAGATGTATCCTGAGGAAACAAAAAAAGTCCTCTTTCACATATTCTGAAAGCACATATGTTTAAATATTATAAAGTCATAAGTAGCTATGGTGGATATCTAAATAAGCATAAGATAAGTTATTTACGAGTGCAGAAAAATTGGGCTGGAAATATTATGTAGTGTGGACTCTAAGAAGGTTGAATGTGGACAAAAAATATCAGTGAGGTACACTGAGAGGCCAGACAGGTGTGACATTTGGGCAGCTGCGGACATGACTACCCACAAGGGCCTTAACCTGAAAGATAGGATTCTAGATTCTGAGATACCTGGTTTAAGCTCAAAAGCCCACCACTTACTGGCTGTGTGACCTTGGCTCACCCATACTATTTAACCTCCCCGTGCACCAGTGTCCTCATTCAGGGCTGTTGTGAGGAACAGGCCCAGTATAGATGTTGGTGCTAAGGAAGCACTTAGTGTCAGTTCCACCCTTCTCTGACTATTTACTTCTGCCGCGCCTTCCTCACAACAAAGGGTGTTCCACATCTCACACTCGGGGATGCTTCCAGGACTAAAAAAATATGTTGGAGAAGAGATTAAAAGCCTGACTGACCAGTTTTTCATATCTATATTTTTATACTCAAAGTCCAGGCTATCCTTGTCTCTTTCCTGGGCTACCATAATAGTTTCCCTGCTGCCCCTTTTCTTCAAGTTTAATTTTCCTTCCTTACCTCCATGCCAGCCAGAATGATATTCTCTCTCTCTCTCTCATATTTTTATTTATTTCAGAGAGGAAGGGAGAGAGAGATAGAAACACTGTACAGCCCTAACCGGTTTGGCTCAGTGGATAGAGCGTCGGCCTGCAGACTGAAGGGTCCCAGGTTCGATTCTGGCCAAGGACATGTACCTTGGTTGCAGGCACATCCCCAGTAAGCAGGTGTGCAGGAGGCAGCTTATCGATGTTTCTCTCTCATCGATGTTTCTAACTCTCTATCCCTCTCCCTTCCTCTCTGTAAAAAATCAATAAAATATATATATATATTTTAAAAAGAAACACTGTACACCCCACACTGGGGATTGAGCCCACAACCCAGGCATGTGCCCTTGGCCAGAATCGAACCTGGGACCCTTCAGTCCACAGGCCGATGCTCTATCCACTGAGCCAAACCGGCTAGGGCCAGAATGAGCCTCTCAAAGAATAACTCACAGAATACTACCACCTTGCTTAAAATCCATCAATTTTGAATTAAATCAACCATACCTCAGCCTACCAAGCCATATGTGAGTTAAGTTCTACCTGCTTCTCTTACCAGGCTCCCTCTATTCTCATTTATTGAGCCCAGCCTCACCTTCTTTCTGTCTCTCAAGCACACTGAGTTTATTTCCTTCTCGGGGCCTTTGCCTACACTGTTCCCTATTGTGCTATATCAATGGTTAAGCTGGGAACTCTGTTTCCCAGAATCCCCTTCCCGGTGTAGTTCTAACATAGAGTTAGCCAAAGAGACACTTGTGTGAGATTTTTAAAAGTGAAGGAATAGCCATTACTCTTGATTAGATAGAATGACAGACACCTTGGTATCCAAGGATCCCAGCTTGCCCTTGCTCTCCTCTGAGTTCACCTTGTCTTCATGACTGTTGGCCTCTCGATCAACAATGGTCCCAACCAGATCTTGGAAGTGTACTCACAGAGGCTGTAGTTACACAGAAGCTACAGCTTCCCACAGGCCCCCAGACTGGCAGCTGGACAGGCTTGGCTTCTTGGATTTTTCTCATGAGCTCTTATTTGTCCAACTGTACCAGTGCTTCTGATGGCTTCATCAGTGAATCTTTCTCCAATACCTGACTATCGTCCCAGACTTTCCCTTCTTGAGATCCTCCATCATCTGTGGAAAACCTGATTCCCTATAGTAATTCCTTTATTTCCACAATGTCAAAGTCAACCATATAATACAGAGAAAAAACTGTGTTGTTACTGAAAATGAGAAATACCAGTAATGACCTCTACAATATTAAAAGCAGCAGAATTAAAACCAGGTCTGTCTGTGTCTGTCTCTGTCTCTCTCTCTCTCTCTCTCTCTCTCTCTCTCTCTCTCTCTCTCATTAGTTGATTCTGGTATGTGCCCAGGGATTGAAACCACAACCTTGGCTGGCCAGCGATGGAACCCACAACCTTGGCCCATCTGGACGATGCTCTAACCCAGTGGTCGGCAAACTCATTAGTCAACAGAGCCAAATATCAACAGTACAACGATTGAAATTTCTCTTGAGAGCCAAATTTTTTAAACTTAAACTATGTAGGTAGGTACATTGTTATTAACTTAATTAGGGTACTCCTAAGGCTTAGGAAGAGCCACACTCAAGGGGCCAAAGAGCCGCATGTGGCTTGCGAGCCGCAGTTTGCTGACCACGGTTCTAACCAACTGAGCTACCCAACCAGGGCCAGGGCAAGTGTCTCTTGTTTGGGGCCTTTGATTAGGGCCAGACTGGCTAGGAGTTTTTATGGATTGGAACTCAAAGCAAAAGTGAGCTGCAAAAGGGAACTAAATGTCTCTGAATAATAAGGGAACAGGAATTACCTCTGGCAGCTAGGGAGTATGTTGGGGATCCTGGAACAGCAAAAAGAGAAGGCAGTGAAGTAAGACTGTAAAAATGAAGTAAAGGCAAAGGAGACCAGTGAGAAATTTTCTGTGGTAGGATGCCAGCTTTAAAACACTGCTGTGTAGCATTCATTTTGGATGTTGCAAGTAACTCCATAATGCTAGAAAACTCTGGGGCCAGCTGGGTTATGTGGCAGCCCTAAAGGTGTGCTGCTTGGATCACCCTTCAACAAAGAACTTACTTTCAGCCACAGGGAGAGAGAGCAGTTAGCTGACACCCTCTAGCTGCTGCACTGGAGAGGAGACTCGCCTCAGGTTTCAAGCCAAGGCCAAATCCAAGCAGTCTCCAGCCAATGACTGAGTATAGAAGGAATACTAGGGACTGACCATTCCTGCCCAACTCAGGACTCCTCTGATGGGCAATCTTTAGTCAGGTGCTCCCCCTTGGGTTCACTAAGACTTTCTCAGACCTCCATCACAGTCTGGGGCAATCTTTCTGCTTTTTTTCCACTTTTATTTTCATAAGGGTTACCTCCAATAAACTTCTTGTGCATCTGATTCTGTCTCAGTGCCTCCTTCTCAGAGAACCCAAATGACACAGATTACATGTGATAGACTTTTTATTTTGAGCAATAAGTGTTCGCTGCTATTATCTTTATTATTTCATACAGCCTCAAACAGAGACTTTTAACACTGGAAGAAACCTTTTAGATGGACATACAAACAGGAGCCTGGAAATCAAGAGACTGGAGTATGTTTCTGGTCCTGCCACTCATTGGCTAAGTAGCCTTGACAAGTCTTATGACCTCTCTGAGTAGCAATTTCTTCATCTGCAAACTGAGGAATGAGAGATTATGATCTCTAAGGTTTCTCCCAAAACATTATCCCCTTTCATGGTCCGTCTAGTACACTATAGCTTTTGATTAATAGCTACCTAATACCCACCTTTTTATAGTGATGCTCCCTGTACTCATGTAAGTATGTTTATATTTTAAAATAACTGCCATGTGGAAGGAACTCCTACCATTTGCAACAGCATGGATGGAGCTGGAGAGCATTATGCCAAGTGAAATAAGTCAGTCAGAGAAAGATAAATATCACATGATCTCACTCATTTATAGAATATAATGAACAACATAAACCGATGAACAAAAATAGATCTAGAGACAGAGAAGCATCGATCAGATGCTCAAACCTCAGAGGGAAGGCAGGGGAAGATGGGGCTAAGGGGGAGAGATCAACCAAAGGACTTGTATGAATGCAGATAAGCATAACCAATGAATACAGACACCGGGAAAAGGGGGAAGGGGGTGAGGTCATAAGTGGGGGAGTGGGGGGACAATGGGGGGGGTAAGGACACATTTGTAATACCTTAATCAATAAAGGGAAAAAAATTAATAAATAAAAAATAAAATAACTGCCATGTGGAACTAGTTTAGCACCGCCAGAATGGGAAAAGGCCACTTCTCTAGGCTTAAATTATTTTGTTAACAATTATATGGAAATCAGAGGACTCCAAATAGGTTTCATTCTTTCTTTATTTTCTATCAAATGCAATGCCAAATAGTATCCAGGTAGTCCCCACACTGCTCCATTCCTCTGCTTGAAAGCAAGATTCTCTAATCACCCAGTGACCCCTGTGGGTCTCACAGGTTGGGGGCAGACAACAGAGGAGGGGCTGTTCCTTTTGTAAGTAAGTCCCTGAGGATAGTATAACCAGGAGCACATTCCGGGGGAGAGGAGAGAGGTATTCCCACCACTTTTATTTGTTTTCTTTTTTAAAAATATATATATATTATTGATTTTTTTACAGAGAGGAAGGGAGAGGGATAGAGTTAGAAACATCGATGAGAGAAACATCGATCCGCTGCCTTCTGCACACCTCCTACTGGGGATGTGCCCGCAACCAAGGTACATGCCCTTGACTGGAATCGAACCAGGGACCCTTCAGTCCATAGGCCTATCCACTGAGCCAAACCGGTTAGGGCTATTTGTTTTCTAAAATAAATAGAATCCTTGAGGACATCTCACCACAACTTTCATATTTTCTAGAAATAGAAAAGCAAGCAAGAATGTGTTACAAGCAAAGAAAGAAATGGGGAATTTCTACACATGATATGTTCTCTTTCCCTATTGTAGCTAGCCTTGAAAAGAACTAAAATTTCTTCTGGTACCAGTTTCCCGATGAGTTTGTATGAGGTCACATTGTAAACTTGGCGTAATTTTCTTGTTAAAAAGAAAAGCGTGAGCTCCCTCCAGTGGCTACATTAACAATTTTTTAAAACAATATATTTTTATTAGAAAAGTACCGAAACCTTCCTGGCTTTTCCGAACATAGTCAATATCACTGGTTTCCAGTGAGAGAGACCATAACTAGAATTCACATGTTAGTTACTTACTGATTTTGAGGTAAATTTCCACTGTGGATACCTAAGACATCTTAATTTCTTAGTTTAATAAGTCACACAATTGAAGAATTGAACGAGACTAGAGATTGTTCATTCAACAACTATTAACTGATTACCTACTATTTGCCATGCGTTGCTCCAAATGCAGAGGATAGGGAAGTGAACAAAACAAAATCCTCATTAACTCATAATTGAATGCAGAGAGGCAATGAAGCATCCATCTTATATAAAAACTGCTGTTTGAAATCTTAACCCTGCTATTTCTGTAAATGCTTGCTGGCTTAACTAATAAGGAAAATAAGACTACTTCCATTTCAGAGAGGCCATTAAACCTTCTCCAGACGAAGTTATCAGTGCTGGCGTCAGGCCAAGCCTTTGGTCGAGGTCTCAAAGCCCCAGCACATAAGGCCCTTTAAGAACTTGCAAAGGGAACCGGAAAAACCCCATATTTGGGAGACAAAGAGGGTAAGATCGTATAAATATGAGAAGCTTCGTGTGAAGGCACCCAGATTTTGAGAGACATTTTCCTCTGGGCCTGTGGGTAATAAATGTAACTCCATCTCTCTAAGCATTGCTTGGTTCTTCTCTGGTTTTTCTGTAACAGCAATAAACAATCCCTCTAGTCTAGGCTCCTTCAATAAATAAATTTTTAATCCATTTGAATTCAGAATTTACAATTATAATAGGGTCTCCTGTGCAAAGGTGCAAAGGATATTTTCTTTTCTAGAATAATTTACTTCAGGTTAAAAATAATTTGTGGATCAGAAAAAGATAGAAATTTCCTTTGCCCACTCAAGACTAAATATAGAAATGAATATGGCATTGGTCTGACTAATATACATTAAAAATATCACATTACACATAATATAACCATTACTTATGATTTAAAAAGTGCATATTCAGTTAGTCACTCTAAATACATACATTTGTCCCTCGGTATCTGTAGGGGATTGGCATAGTATTTGCATATAACCTACGCACATCCTCCTGCATACTTTAAATCATCTCTTTAGTATTCATAATAACTAATAACATGTAAATTGTTATACAACATTGCTTAGGGAATGATGACAAGAAAAAAGTCTGTACATGTCACTACAGATGGAACCATCATATGTAATTAGCTACACAGTACATATCAACAACAATGCAACATTTTTTTTCAAGTATTTTTCATCTTTGGTTGGTTGAATCCAAGGATAAGGAACCCATGGATATGGGAGGCTGACTGTATTCAGCCACTCTCAGCCTTAATTTTTTCATCTATCAAAAAGAAAAAAAATCCTGTTTTCATGGTGTTTTGGGGTAAAATGGGCTCCTTAGATTAGCAGGTAAAGCCTTTCATCACCCACATGCATAACCTCACCCAACTCATTTTCCTCATCTTTTCTGCTGCACACTCCCTTTCCAACTTTTAGTCGCACCAAATTTCTGGTTGTCCCTTAAAGCCACTAGACCAGTGGTTCTCAACCTTCTGGCCCTTTAAATACAGTTCCTCATGTTGTGACCCAACCATAAAATTATTTTCGTTGCTACTTCATAATTGTAATGTTGCTACTGTGATGAATCGTAATGTAAATATCTGATATGCAGGATGGTCTTAGGCGACCCCTGTGAAAGGGTCGTTCGACCACCAAAGGGGTCGCGACCCACAGGTTGAGAACCACTGCACTAGACTTTTTTCAAGCCTTTGTACCTTTCTACAGGCTATTTTCTTTATTTAGAAAGCCTTCCTTTCCCTCCTGCAGAACAACTCATCTTTCGGGATTTCAATCAAATGCTACCAAAAACTGTGAGACATTCTGATTCCTCGGCTGTTTGTCCTTTCTATTGCTTCCACTGAGCTATTATACAAACACGTTTATTCACTTTAAATGTATTTATCTATCCATCTCCCTTATTAATCTGTGACTTTCTTGAGGGCAAATGCCCATGTTTTATTTATTTTTGTATTCCTAGCACCTACCCTAGTGCCTGACATATGGATTGTGAATAAAAGCTGTGACATAGCCTGAGTATTTTATTCACAAGTCATATTTTGGGGACTCAAGATGAATATGCATAGTACATAAGCTTATAATTTTGACAGGAATTTTTAATTAAATCTATGAATGGTTTTGCAAATAAAATATGGATTGCATACATTTCTTAACTACACAATACTCGATTCAATGATTAATAACTAGAAGCCATTCTCCAAATGCAACTGAAAAACTAATCCTGGTTTGCACAGTGTGCTTGATTCTGTGTGTGCTCAGATGTGATTAGAGTTTCTTGGTTTTGGCTCAGTCACAGATGACCCTGACTGAAGTTGGTGTTCTGTGAAATTGCTTATTTTAAGCAAAAGAACACCAAGTTCTCTATTAATGCCAAATTTGTTACCAGCTGACAGCTGTCAGGCTACTTTTTTTCTTTCTTATCTAGTTACAATCTTGACTGCCTGGATTGAAATCCCAGCTTCCTCACCAGCTGACTTTGGGCAGTTAACTTGTCTGAGGCTGTTTCCTCATCTATAAAGTGAAGATAATTATAGCACCTTCTTTAGAGGGCTGTTCTGAGGATTAAATGAGTTAGTACACTTGAAATGCTGGAAACAGTGCCTGGCATAGGGTGAGTGATCAAGTGCATTGTATTAACAGCACCCTGTCGCATACATCCATTCTCTGTATGTTTATTTTTGCACTGTGAGATTGTATAAATGTATTCTCTTGGGATTACTGGGATCTGAATTTAAAGCCCTGGCTGAAGAGTACTGACAAACGTTCTAACAGTGGTTGACATTTCGGTACAAATTACTTTTCATTTTAAAGTAATCAATATACAACTTTTTATCCAATACACACCCTTTTCTCTTACCTGGGTCACGTTGAGATGAAACAACGCCAAACAAAACAAAATCGTATTAAAATTATACCGCCCCCCACCCCGCCCCAATTTACACCTCTCGTTGCTCTTTTATGCCCCTTTATAAAAATAAGATAAGCTAGTGCTATCTACTCCCCATGGGTACTTTTAGCTTCTAACTTTAGGCTGTGGGATTAAAACACCAAACAAACTAGTAATCCTCATCTGTTTCCCAAGAATGTGTCGGGATGATGAAATAAATTAACGTGTGTGAAGAAAAAAAAACTCTGCGTTTCATAATGTCTCAGAAACGATTGAGAGTAGCAGCGGTTGGCCGAGGAATAAAAGTGTCGTAAAAGCCACCGCAGAGCGTTAAGGCCGTGAAAGTAGTTTGACCCTCGGAGGCTCCCGTAGTCTAGCTCCTGGCTGCGCGTCCCACGTGCTGCTTCCGGTCCTACCGCGCTGCACGATTCCCGGCAGGATCTGGGACGGTTGGTAATTGCCATCGGTGTAGGGTTGTTTTTTTTCTTTTCTTTTCTTTTCTTTAAAACTGTCCGCCGCGGAGCTCGTCAGCAGCCAAGATGTCCAGCAGAAACAACAACAAACTGCCCAGCAACCTGCCGCAGTTACAGAACCTGATCAAGCGGGACCCGCCGGCCTACGTGGAGGAGGTGGGACTGCGCCGCGGCGGCGCTAGAGGCCGAGGCGCGCCGGGTTGACACGAGTGGGGTTGGGGAGGCGTGGAGTGGAGTTGGGGATCCTGCTGGCCGCGTGTGCTACTGTTAGGTTCTGGGGTCTGTCGGAAGGGAGAAGGGGCTGGGAAAGGGAACATGCCTTAAGGCGCGTGGTCCACCTCTTGGAACTCTGGTCCCTTCGGTCTACCTGCTCCGTAGACCTCGCTGCCACGGACCTTTAAAAACCTCATTTTGCTTGAGAGAGAGAGACAGATGGCGCGCTTCCAACCTCCAACTGCCATGTAGGTTTCTCTGCCTTTTCTTTTCAGAAACTCCTAACTTAAACTCATTGGTAACACTTGACGTGTCGTTTCTCAGGATGCTTGCGACCGACGTCTGTTTGCCCCCGCGCTCTGCGGTGGGTTGTGTTGGGAAGGAGGTGAATTCTCACGTATAAGGGATAGACAGGGGCTTAGTCTATATTGTGAAATCAGGATTCAGTCGCATCGGAAGCGGGCATGACCTGGATGTCAGAATTTGCTTCGGGGAAAGATGAGGTTAAAAATTAAGGTTAGGTTCAGATTGCGAGGGACTTTATATACTGATTTCATACAAATTGTGAACATTAAGGGTGTTTGAGCCAAGAAGCAACAAAATGAAAGTGGTGACTTTGGTACTATATTAATTTGGCAGTTGTGTTCTCAGGCACCCGGTGTCTGCGGGCGTTAATGAGATATCTGCTAAGCATCTGCTGCCATTGTTTGTGCTTCTTCCTCACTAGATGGTGGTTTGCCCAGTGGCTAACACAGTTACTCATCTTTTGTCCTTCTCATTTTCCTACTCCCCCAACTTTTCACTTAGAAATGTTTAATTGAATGCTTTTTACCAAATAGCAGTTCCAGTGGTTTAGGTCACCAGTGTAGAAAGCCTTTCCAAGGAAGATAAAGAGTCAGAAACAAATACAAGGAATGAAGTAATAGGTGAGACGCTACGAAGTGTAAAGCTGTGTACACAACCATTGACAAAGTAATAGTTGTAGCTGTACAGTGCTGTGTTTAAGGACATTGTTTTCACAGCTAACTAATCCTGACCCTGCTGTTGACCAGTTGTGTTACTTGGAAGCACTCATCACTGAGCCTTTTTAATATGTAAGAAAGACATAATTCTTACTTCAGAGAATTGCTCTTTCTTTCACTTGGTGAATGCATATGCAAATCCACACATACTATACCTACTGTGTGTCAGTACAGTTCTAGGCCCTGGGGATACAGTGATCAATAAGACAGATCTGAGAGCCTTCTTCTCTTGGACTTATGTTCTGGATGGTAGACATACAGTGGTAAGGACTATGAAGAAAGTAAATTTGTATATGAATATGCCTTGATAGTGGTGGCTGGGCTGGGCTGGGGTGGGATTGGGGAAGAAGTGGGAAAAGGATCTTGCGGGAAGCACACTGAGTTCTGGGGTACTCTCCTCACTCTTGTCAGTGGCAGTAGGGAGTCAAGAGAGATGGGGTCTTACCTGAAGCATGTGGGGGCTGCATGCTATCTGAAGTCCTATTCTTGGAGAAAGCTGAAGGCCTACCAGTTTTGTTGGGGAAATCAAGAGTTACGTTTTTTAACCATGCTAAGTTTAAAATGTCTGGTAGACATCCAAACAGAGACATCAGGCAGTTAATTGGATATATGGATTTGGAGGTCACTAACCATTTAGGGCTTGCAGTATTAAGAAATATTCGTTCTCATAGTGTCTGTCTGTCTCTTACTCTCTCACTCTCTGGTACACACACACTCAAAGCTGTGGTCTATGGATGAAGAGTAGATACATGGAACTAATTGATGTCTGGTGTTTGAACATTCTTAAGTTGTTGTTAGGATTAAACATAATTAAATGAGATAATGGACACAGTGAGCTTGGCATATAGCAAGTGATGAACAAATGGAAGCTATTATCATTATTTCTGTGTGTCTATTGTTTTTGGCTGTTAATACATCCTATCTATAACTCCAGGATAGAATCTAAATCGGTATTTAAAAGAAGAAGGGAATTTTGACTGGAGTGCTTCATGTACCTAAGAAATACATAATTTACATTTTCTGACATGGTGTTTTTCTGCTGATATAAGTGCTCTGTATGCGCAGACTATGTAGTAAGGGTCATTTGGATAGTAAATGTCAGAATAGGGCCAGAACCTGAGTTTTTGACTCTTGGCTTTACTGTTCTTTACACTACACCACCTAAATTTCTAACGATAAACGAAAGGATCTTTAGATTACCTGTGATGTACATAAAGTTTCCAAAACTTATTTTGAAAATGCAGGTAAGGAAAGAGTTTCTGCATACTTTTGCCACATCATTTTCTCCATGTTACTAACCAAGACTTAAATATACTGAGCAAGTCATATAATAAAAGGTGACCAACTTAAATCTTATTTTTCTACAGTTTCTACAGCAGTATAATCACTACAAATCCAATGTGGAGATTTTCCGATTACAACCAAATAAACCCAGCAAAGAACTGGCAGAGCTGGTGATGTTTATGGCACAGGTAAGAAGATAATTTCTGTGCAAAACAAAGACCAGTTATTACACATAGTTTGCAGAATATTTTTCCAGTAATATCCAACCTCATTCCATTCAGGAATGAAAGCTTCATTTAAAAAAAATTTTTCCCCCTTTTTAAAAAAATGGTTTTTTTATTTTTTTAATTTTTATTTTTTTAATACATATTTTTATTGATTTCAGAGAGGAAGGGCTGAGGAAAAGAGAGAAAAATATCAATAATGAGAGGAAATCATTGATCAGCTGCCTCCCACACACCCCACATGCAGGATCAGTCCCACAACCTGGGCATGTGCCCTGACTGGAAATTGAATGGTGATCTTCTGGTTAATAGGTCGAGGCTCAACCATTGAGCCACCACGACCAGGCAATTTTCCCTCTTTGCAAATTTACTTTCTCTGTGTGGTGAGTTGGAAGATTTTGCTAGAGCTTTTCACAGAACCATCCAGAGCAAAATTTCAGACTGTTTGTTTTCTTCAAATTCATTATAAAATCAGATTCTAATCATGTCACACATATTTTAATAAGACTAAGAGGAAATATGAAAGGAGTCAGAGAAATTTACATGTAGAAGAAAAAGATATGATTTGGAACCATCTACCTCTATGAAAGAGCCTTTATTCCCCTTTTGCAGAATTTTATAGAAAATCCGAAATACATGCACATGAATTATAGGAGAGAAAGACAGACTTCAGAAGAGTCTTTGTTTTGTTACAGATTGGTCACTGCTACCCAGAACATTTAAGTAACTTTCCTCAAGAGTTGAAAGATCTTCTTTCCTACAATCACACTGTCTTGGATCCAGATCTTCGAATGGTAGAGCCAGTATTTGGATTGATAACTTGTGCTGTGTTCGTGTGTATTCTTATAATATGTGTTTAAATGAAAATAGCCTCTCGGCTAAACATCTTTTTAAATTGTATAACAAAATGTGTCACCCCTTCCTTAAAATCCTTCTGTGGCTTCTTATTTAAACTTAGAATTAGAGGCCCGATGCACGAAATTCGTGCAAGGGCCTTGGCCCCAACCCCCGCCCGCCACCGCCACAACGGCCGGTGGCCTCTGCCGCCTCTGCCTCAGCCCCCACCCGCTTTGGCTTTGTCTGGAAGGAAGGATTTCCAGAAGGACGTCCAGTCCAATTAGCACATTATGCTTTTATTATTATAGATAAAACTCAAACGCATTATCGTAGCCTGTAAGTTCTTACATGATCTGCTTCCTGCCTGTATGTGCATGTGTGTGTGTATGTGTGTATATAATCTCATTGTCTTTTCAATTATACTCTTCTTTCTGATCTTTCAGCATGCTAACCCTGCCAGGATGTTCTTTTCCCTCTTGAATAGGTGATTCCTTCTAGTCATTCAAATATCGTATGCCTGAAGAACTTTAATTTCACCTTTTGGTTTGTATAATGCTTAATTTAATAAATTTATCCATTAAATAGCCAGTTTGAACATTTAAATATTCTTACTCTAGTGGTTGACATTGGGTCCGGGCCAAGATCCCTTTACCAAGCCAGTGCATCCATTTCCCCTGCCTAATGGCCCCCAGCTGCCCGTTCCCTGGAGCATTGTTCTCAGCTAAATGGGAGACCTAGTACCTGAGAGGTTGACCTTGCAGCTCACAGCTGGTACCTGACCAACCCAGTGGTATAAAACCCTGACCCTGTCCCTCAAGGTGGGTCCCACTCTCTGTTGCAGTTTGTACTCCAGGGCTTGTGATTTGACTAGAGCTAGTCTCAGCCAGGGACACATCCTTGCTCAGCTTTTCTCTGCCTTATTTTACTGCCTTACTTCCCTTCTAGACAAACCACTGTAATGAATCGGGCTCTACTTCTAGGGAACTCAGCCTTTGGCATTTTAAAATTGTATACATCAGCTTTCCAAACACCTTTATAGCAAGTAGAACTTACATAAATATTATGATTACAAAACATTGATATCTTATACAAAAATTTGTAAAAATGCTAAGTCCATATGTTTAACTCTGTTTATACTTCTCTAAGATTTTATTAATTTGATTAGGCCCAAACAAAAAAGAATGTCATCTCAGACAAACCAAGGTTGCAGGTTTAGGGTTGTCAACTGGTTAACCCTCAGGGTCATAGGACCTGACAGCACAGGAGGCTTCAAACTCCAACCATTAGTCAGAAGCCTTTTACTTAAGTCATGGAGCTTTTCAAGTTCCTCTGGGTTGTACAGATTTGAGATTTTGAGCATGGAGACTCAGTGTCTTTCCAAGTAATTAGGTTTTCTTTCTTTAAGTTTTGTGTGGCTAATAGTATCAAACCAAACTGGTCTGCAAGCATCCTATATAATAAAAGCTTAATATGCAAATTGTCCCCTCGACCAAGAGTTCGACCAGGGGGCAAGGCCGGCCGGCCAACTGCCTGCGGCCCCTCTCCCCAGCCCCATCAGGACGGGCCAGCTGGACCCCACCAGTGCACGAATTCATGCACCGGGCCTCTAGTTATTAAATAAACAAATGTGTGTGTATGTTTCTTTATAGTATTTTATGATGAATAGTAGGTTTTTAAAACACTAATTAAAATTTTTCTTTGCTAAGAAACAAGGGATTGAATCTGTGTAATTAGCATTCCTTTTTAGAAGAATCATTTAGAACATACTGATGGATCCTCTTTTTACTTGGCTATTGTGATGGCCACCTTCAAACTGTCACCACCTGTCCGGTGGGAGCTTCTTCTTTCAGCAATACCCCTGATGTTTTTATTTATTTACTTACTTATTTTTTAATATATGTTATTGATTTTTTACAGAGAGGAAGGGAGAGAGATAGAGAGTTAGAAACATCAATGAGAGAGAAACATCGATCAGCTGAGGATGTGCCCGCAACCAAGGTACATGTCCTTGGCTGGAATCGAACCTGGGACCTTTCAGTCTGCAGGCCGACGCTCTATCCACTGAGCCAAACCGGTTTCGGCAACACCCCTGATGTTTTTAAAGCATCCTTGCATTCTGGCAGAAATAGTTCCAAACCCTTTCTTACTGTTTGTCCTGCCCCAAGACTTAGAGTCAGCTATTTTCCAAGGATTATTTGTTCCATCCAATGGAGAAGAGAATTAGAGGAAAAATTTGAGTGATAAGGGTACTCATAAAAGTTGGTGGTAAGCAAGAGTACTGCAACTTTTGTTGTAATACTAACAATACTTCAAAAGAATGCCTTGTAAGGTCACAAATTCAGATTGATTATTCCAGTTTAGTGTATGATGTTATTGTTGTTAACCCACCTTTCTTATCTTTGTGGATTCATTGATTACTGGGGTTTTGTCAGATGCTGACCTCCCTGTGTAAAGTAGCCACAATGTGTCAATTACATATATTACCTTGTTTTACTTCCTTTGTGACATTTATTATCTGAGATACTCCTGTTCATGTGCTTCTTGTTTGTCTGTCCTCTCTTCTGCTACACCCCCCAGTGTGTAAGGCCCATGAGGGCAGAGACTCTTTGTTCTGATGCCTGATTAATAGGCTCTTTTGTGATTTACATGCTCCATTTTCTTAACTTTATCATTATCTTATAGTATATTTTCTTTTCCTTCCTGAGACATTTTGCAAAGCTTTGATCTTGCTGAGAAATAAGAATCTCATCAATCCATCAAGTTTACTAGAGCTGTTCTTTGAACTTCTGCGTTGCCATGATAAGCTTCTGCGAAAGGTAAAGAGCAAAATTGCTTTTTTCATATATCTCATTTTTCCTTGCAGTAACTTAAAACTTATAGAGTGAAGTCTTGATGCTTCACATTATTGGATATAGTTAAGAATAATTTTAATAGGAAAAAAATCCACCATTTTTTGTATGTAATATGATGGTAATAGCTAAACATTTATTGAATGCTTACTTTTTGTCAGGTACCATTCTCAGAGCTTTTTAAATATTTATTTGTTTACTTGCTTAATGATATAGGATTTATTAGTAGTAGTAGTGATAGTAGTAGTAGTATTTTATAGATGAAAAGGCTGAGATAGAGTAACATGCCCAGAGTCACACAGATTCTGAGTGGTGGAGCAGGAATATAAACCCAGGCAGTCTGGCTCCAGAACCCAAGCCCTTTTCTCTGCACTATACTGACTAAATCAGAGCGTGGACTAAACACTCATAGCCATAACTGCCCCAACCTCAGCCCCCAAGAAACTCACTTTTTTTGTTATTATTGTTTTCCTATGACTTTGAATTTGCTTACATAAGTAAGATCAGAAGCTGAAGGTTTATAAAAGAAATTTAAGCAAGAAAAATTTAAGTTCACATTCATTAACTTAATAATTTTTTCAAAGTGTTTAGAAACTGCCACCATTTGATGTTAGCAATTGTACTTCTTGGTCTAACCTGTGGGATAAAAGTTGTTTATAGGAACATGTTTTGGGCACCAATGATACTTGTATTGCCAATATGATCTTGCATGGAGTTAGGGGCTCAGAAAATGGAGCAACTATAATTCATACACAATTCATCCATTTAAATGGACTATTCAGTGTTTTTTAGTATACTCACAGATTTTGCAAGTATCACAACAATCAATTTTAGAACATTTTTATCCTTCAAAAGAAATCCCATTCCCATGAGCAATTATTCCCCATGCCCCCATCTCTCCCAATCCCTAGGCAACCACCCATCTATTTTTGGTCTTTTTGATTTGCCTACTCTGGATATTTCATATAAATGGACTCATACAGTATGTAGCTTTTTGTGTCTGGCTTCTAGCATAATGTTTACAAGGTTTATCCATGTTGTAGCATATATTAGTATTTCTTCTTTTTTGTTGTTGTTGCCAAATACTATTCCATTGTATGATTACACCACATTCATAGGTTATTGGACATTTGGGTTGTTTTCACTTTTGACTATTTAAGAGTAGAATTATTGGGTAATATGGTAACTCCATGATTAACCTTTTCAGGGCAGTTTTCCTTTTGCATTTTAGCTGCTGCTTTTATTTTGTTTTTGGTCTCTTTTGTGATAAAATGTAAAGTAGATAATATTAAATCCTCTTGTACATTTGTACTTTTCTCCAAAGTAAGCAAAGTTTGAAATGTTGGTTTATATATATATGTTTTTGTTTCTTTTCCTCAGACTTTATACACGCATATTGTGACTGATATCAAGAATATAAATGCAAAACACAAGAACAATAAAGTGAATGTAGTAAGTACCCTTTTGTTTTCCTTGTTGCAGCATTGTACCATCAGTGTATTAAGGCTTCTTTCTCCTCTTTTTCTTTAGGTGTTGCAGAATTTCATGTACACCATGCTGAGAGATAGCAATGCAACTGCAGCTAAGATATCCTTGGATGTGATGATTGAACTCTACAGAAGAAACATCTGGTAATATATATGTATTTGTCGCTTGAGAAATAGAATCTTTTGTTCATTTGTAATTACTACATAGCACATGCACAATTATTTGTCTTGATCTTGAGTAAGAATGGAAGTAAATATGCAGAGGTAGCAACACTAGTTACCATTTGTTGAGCACATACACCTTATATTACACTAGGGATCCAGTGCACGAATTCGTGCACCTTGAAAGGAACTGTAGGCCGCGAGGCTGCGGTGGGCACAGGGGCGGGTCTCAGCCCATCCTCCATGCCCCCGCCCAGCCCCCCCACCGTGGTCCTGGTCCCCTGTCTGCTGGCAGCCCCACTCCCGCTGCCTGACTGCACTGGCCCTGCTTGCACCTGCTGATGGCGCAGAGCGATTGGGTGCGAAGCAGCTGCTGCTGCCGCTGCCCCGATCGCCCCCCAGGAGGAGAGGGAAGTGGGGAAGCCCTCAGAGGTGATCAGGGCTGGCAGCTGCTGCTCACACTCACTGACGATGCAGAGCGATTGGGGCCGGCGCCGGTAGCTGGTGTGAATGGCAACTCTGGTGCCAGCAGCGGGCACGAACAGGGCCGGCGCTGGCAGCAGGTGCAAGCGCCTTGTGGGACCGTGGTGCACAGGAACAAAGAATTTTCAGTAACCATCAGAGACTCGCCCTGGTGACAGTGACCAGCGCCCCACATTGGTCTGGCACCCCCACTCACCTGCTCCACCATCCCACCGCAGCCAACACCCGCCATGTTCTGCATGCGCCCCCCTGGTGGTCAGCACATGTCATAGCAACTGGTTGTTTGGTTGTTCCGTGTCCAGAGGTGACACGCGTGTCATAGGTTTGCCATCACTGTATAACAGGATATTGTAAAAATTAAGTTACGGAATTTTTATTAAACGTTTCTTACATACCGTTATATTGGCTGGGCCGCAAAAATATGCACTGTGGGCCACATGCGGCCTGCCGGCCATGAGTTTGACATGCTTGTTGTATGTGCCCTGCCCGGGGATCAAACTCGCAATCTTGTTATATCGGGATGATGCTCAAACCAACTGAGCTATGCAGCCAGGGCCATGAGTCTTAATGACTGCATAATTTTCTGAAGTAAGACTGAGCTTAAGTTTAATTAGTATTAAATTAAGTAATCAAACTGTGGTTGACTAGCAACTTATGACTTTTTAAAATTATTATAGCTAGGAATTCTAACAAGTCAGAAATGTTTATTATATTATTTATTTTGTGCCATTGTGCTGTCAAGTACAATAGAATGAAAACTTACTTTATAACATTCATTTGTTTTTCCCCAGGAACGATGCCAAAACTGTCAATGTTATAACAACTGCGTGTTTCTCTAAGGTCACCAAGGTGAGCATCTGTATGGCTGTGTGAAGGCACTGTTTGTGAGTGGTCTGCTTCTCCATAGAGAGTAAAGGAGAATGGTATACGAGGAAGAGGGAGTATGTAGTTCATTTTACTGGTGCTCTGTGTACACGCCATTTCCTGCTTCATCAACCTGTGCTTTAGAAGAGTCATAATTATCATGAAGGTCCCCCCCCCCCTTTTTTTTTCTTTTAATATATTTTTATTGATTTCAGAGAGGAAGGGAGAGGGCGAGAGAGATAGAAACATCAATGATGAGAGAGAATCATTGATTGGCTGCTTCCCGCAAGCCCCCCACTGGGGATTGAGCCCACAACCTGGGCATGTGCCCTTGATTAGAATCGAACCTGGGACCTTTCAGTTCACAGGACAACGCTCTTTCCACTGAGCCAAACTGGCTAGGGCTCCCCCTTTTTATTGAAATTATTGGGATGACACTGGTTAATAAAATTATAATGGTTTCAGGTGCACAATTCTACATATGAGTGTTGTAAAATGCTATGTATTAAACAATAGTGTTGATTTTATGTTTTTCCTGTAATTGTTGACTATTTTATTGGGCTCAGACACAGCTGAAAGATAATTAAGGATATGTTTGATTTTCTATTAAAAGGACTGTAATGTCACTTTTTTGTAGGGAGGAAGTAGAAATTCTTTTTTTTATTGAGTTTTTAATTTTTAGCGAGAGAGAGAAACATTGATTTGTTGTTCCCCTTATTATGCATTCATTGGTTGAATTCTTGTATGTGCCCTGACCAAGAATCAAACCCACAACTGTCATGTATCAGGATGAGGCTCTAACCAACTGACCTACCAAGCCATGGCATGGAAATTCTTGACAGTCTACTTGAAGGATAACTATGTAGAGCCTAGGTATTTTTATCTAAGATTTTTTTTAATTACATATTTTTTAGGACAAGTAATGTTATAAAAGCATTATGTTTTAATTGAGAAAATGAGCTCAAATCCCATTTTTAATTTTCTTTAGATCCTTTTGTGTACACTTATATAAAGAGTAGACAGAAGTATTTATTCTTTGTTGTAAGGTAGGATGAGTAATTTTTCTGATTGATCTTTAGATATTAGTTGCTGCTTTAACATTCTTCCTTGGGAAAGATGAAGAGGAAAAACAAGACAGCGACTCAGAATCGGAGGTTAGTTTAACCATAAATGCTTCTGAATTTTACAGCTTATGAGATTTCATTATTGCTTTCAGGGAAAATGGTAAAATCCATGACTGCTTACATTAGAAAGGAATTTACATGTTACATTTATCCTTTATTGAGTTCTGCCATGTGGAGATTTTATAGTTTAGAATTTGTCACTTAACTTTAGTAAGATTGGTTAAGTAACTAATAAAATTTAGATTCATTCACTCTTGTTATTAGTTATAAACCAGTTACTATAACTCACTATATAAACTTAGAATGAAAATTGCTGCGAACACATTTTTTTAAAAAATATATTTTATTGATTTTTCACAGAGAGGAAGGGAGAGGGATAGAGAGTTAGAAACATCGATGAGAGAGAAACATCGATCAGCTGCCTCCTGCACACTCCCCACTGGGAACATGCCTGCAACCAAGGCATATGCCCTTGACCGGAATTGAACCTGGGACCCTTGAGTCCACAGGCTGACGCTCTATCCACTGAGCCAAACCGGTTAGGGTGATGATGCCAACACATTTTTGAGGTGAGTATTGACATCATAGAAGTTCAGAGTGGGGGAATGGAGAGGAGTAATATCATGGCATCTTTAAAAGGAAAAATCAAGATATATTATATGAAATTTTATTAATTAAAAAAATACTTTTAATTAAATTTAAAAGGAGAAAAATTTCCCTTCCTATTTTAGCATTTTTATAAGAATACTGGAATCCTATGTAATAATAAAAGGCTAACATGCAAATTGTCCCCTCGGGAGTTTGACCAACTGGGAATTCAACCGCTCACTATGACGTGGGCTGACCACCAGGGGGCGGCGCAGAAGGAAGGAAGGAAGGCCCCGATCATCCCTGATCGTGAGCCTTTCTAGTCTATATACATAAAAGGCTAATATGCTAAGTGTCTGACCAGTTGCTATGGTGCCCACTGACCACCAGGGGGCAGCTCAACACAGGAGCTGCCATGACGCACACAGAGAAACCTCTGTGCCCACAAAGCAACACTCGGCTTCCCCCAAGTGGGACACAGGCCCTACCACCACCCCAGAGTGACAGCCCACCAAATCGCAGCCAATGCTGCCGAGACTCCATGGCGCAAAATGCGGCCCACAGCCCAACCCAGTCTGGAAACGGTAGCTGTGGGCGCTGGGTAACAACGTCATATAGCATTCCTGGCTTACTCTCCCTAGCCTCCTTGCATTTCTTCAGCCCTGGAACATGCCTTGCTTTATAGCCAGGTGCAGACATTTCACACTTTAACCAAATGTCTGTGAAGCATTTTCACGTGCCTCATCACATTTGATCCTCACAGAAGTCCTGGAGTAGGTAGATAGGAGACGAGGTGGAATTCTATTTTCTTTTTGTTAACTGGAAAATGGAGATTTAGAAAGTTTAGAAACTTGACCCAACTGAAAAGAAGAAATGGTGGACCTTGAAAATGACTTCAGGTTTTCTCACTGTGCAGAATATAGTCAAACACTGCTACAGTTAAATATTTTACCCTTTGTTCTCCCTGTGTGATCTACAATAATAATTTGCTTCATGTTGACATTTGCTGCTGTGTTGCTGACAATTACCTGAAATAAGTTGGGGTGCTTCACTGGGCTGGAAAAAGTTTAGCTACATCAGAAAGCAGGTCTAATTAAGCAGCTTTATTCTATACATATAAAACACTAAGTTGACTTGCGCACAGGTGATACATATAAAGCTCTCGCTGGCGCCAGTTGTATGTGTGTGTTTTGATCTGTCATTGTTGATCATGAATTTGGTTGACACTTCTATTATAGAGAAAGGGCAAATAGCGATATTAAAATATTTCTTCTAATTAATTTTCTTTCAATGTGCACAAATTCGTGCACTGGGCCACTAGTATATAATATCTTGTAATTCATTTTATCTTATTAAATGGTGTATGAGTAATACATTTTTATTGTAAAAAGTTTCAGATACTATAGATAAAATAGAAATTTGCTTGACCCTGTGTTATTTCCACTTCCCCATCCCTTCTTCACAGATAACTACTTTGTTTCCCCTTGCAGTTATATATGTAGGTGTGTATATGATTGTCTTATATGCACAGTAGGTTTTTATTTTTTTATTTTTAAAATTTTTTATTGATTTCAGAGAGTAAGGGAGAGGAATACAGAGATAGAAGCATCAATGATGAGAGAGAATCATTGATTGGCTGCCTCCTATACACCCCACACTGGGGATTGAGCCCGCAATCCAGGCATGTGCCCTGACCGGGAATCGAACCGTGACCTCTTGGTTCATAGGTTGATGCTCAACCACTGAGCTATGCCAGCCAAGCCACAGTAGGTTTTTAAAATATGTAAATAATACACATATTATACTGCAGGTTGCTTTCTTTGTGTCAATATATACTTACCAATGTATTTAGAGCTTATTCTGTTAGTATATGTAAATCTGCCCTATGCTTTTTTAAAAAAATTGTTGACACTATTACAGTGGTCCAACATTTACCCCTCCCCTTTGCCTGTTCCACTCAGCCCCCACCTCCCTGTCCCTCTGGCTATCACCATACTGTTGTCTATGTCTGTGGGTTATGAATCTGTGTTCTTTGGCTAATCTCTTCAACCTCCTTTCCAGTCCCCCCCCACCTCCACCTCCACCCCCTTCTCCTCTGGCCTTTGTCAGTCTGTTCCATGTATCCATTCCTCTGTTTCTATTTTGTTCCTCTCTGCCATATGCTTTTACCCTACACATATTTCTGAATATAAATGTATTATACTTAAAAATTTTCCTGTTCATAAATATTTGTTTCCAGTTTGTTTTTCAAATTAGAGCAAAGTTGCAGTCTGTCAATATATTATACTTTAATAAAAATTAAAAGGAAAATTAAAAAAGAAGGATCTCTTATGCTTTGAGACATCATAGAGGGACCTGAAGAGTATTATGCTAAGTGAAATAAGTCAAAGAAAGACAAGTATCACATGATCTCACTCATATGTGGAATCTAACGAACAAAATAAACTGATGAACAAAATAGATCCAGAGACATAGAAGCATGGAACAGACTGATGAATCTCAGAGGGAAGGCAGGGGTGGGTGGGGAGAGATTAACCAAAAAACTTATATGCATATATGCATAACCCATGGACACAGGACAGTAGTGTGATGAAGTCTGGGCAGGGGAGAGGTACCGGGTGGAGGAGGTCAATGGGGAAAAAGAGGGACATCTGTAATACTTTCAACAATAAAGATAAATTTTAAAAATATTGATATTTTTAAAAAAAGAAAATACAAAGGTAAAAATCAATGCTGCAGTCAAAGTCTTTGTTTATGCCTGTTTGTGCACATGGGAAAATATTTTTTATTGACTTTTAGAAATCCTGTTCATTTTTAATGGCTGTGTTCAAAGAGTGTAAGTATGAAGAAGTGGTTGAAAGGATTACTCTTAGCTTCTATGCAGACTTTCATTATTTACAGTTTTACAAAGTAGGTTTTTTTTTAGGATGAAGGACCAACAGCAAGAGACCTGCTAGTACAGTATGCCACAGGGAAGAAAAGCTCCAAGCACAAGAAGAGGTTGGAAAAGGCTATGAAAGTGCTCAAGGTGAGATTTGTACCTGGGAAATGAAGTTAGGAATCATTAGAATGTAGAAAAGGTTTTTAGCAAAAGCTTTTAAGAATTTGAAATAAAGCACATTTCTGAAAGACTTACTAGTAGAAATGTGTAATGAGTTTTTAAGCACTAATTTTGGGATGAATTTAATTTTCAGCTCTAGCAAAATCTGTGACTTGAATAAATTAGATTAAATTTACTTTTCACTTGTTCTGATTGAGATGACCTATATTAGGATATCTTTGGTAGGCATATCTTCTCAGAAGAGTACATGAATAAAATACATTTTATATTTTGTAATGATTATTCTGAGAATCATTAATTTGGCCCTTACGTGGTTAATTTTTATATTGCCAAATTCCTTTAAGTTTTACTAGTGAATCTTAAAAGACAAAAACCATCTATACTCTTTTTATGAAAGAAAGGTTTTTAGAACAAAGATTTTGTCTTCTTTTTAAACAGTGTGGTGGACTTGATGACAACTTTTAGCACATTAGCACATTTAACCCCAAGGGCCTCATTACTGTAATTCAAAAAGTAAATGTTTTTTCTTTCCCTTTGTTTCAGAAACAAAAGAAGAAGAAAAAACCAGAGGTGTTTAACTTTTCAGCTATTCACTTGATTCATGATCCTCAAGGTACTATAATTATGACTTTGCAATTTCTTATTGGCCTGATCTCTGCCTAGTTAGTTTCCTACCTTCAGAGTTACCAGGGAATATAAGATCCCTGGGGCTTAATAGACAATCAGTAAATACTTAGTTGTTCCTAGTTGGTGGTAACTGTTACTAGTTTATGTTCTGAAACAGTGATTCTCAGTCATAGCAAAATAAGAAAAATATGGAAGAACAGCTCTCTCTAAAATTTTTATTTTAACAACACAATAATGGTAGGACAACATTGTGCTCGACTAAATGAAAAATTGATGATCTTTTGTCCTTTTTTTAAAGAAAAAACAAAAAACTGGTCTGTGGAAACCAAAAGTTTGAGAAACCTTATTCTAGAACACCAGTTCTCAAACTGGAATGCAAATTGGACTCACTCAGAGAATTTATAAACAATACTGGTGCTTGGGTCCTGTTATCCCCAGAGACTGATTAGTTGGTATTGGGTGCAGTTGGACATTGGGGCTTTTATTTTTATTTTTTTATTAGTATTGATTTCATAGAGGAAGGGAGAAGGAGAGAGAGACAGAAACATCAGTGATGAGAGAGAATCATTGATCAGTTGCCTCCTACACATCCCACACTGGGGATTGAACCGGCAACCTGGGCATATGCCCTGACCAGGAATCAAACCATGATCTCCTGGTTCATAGGCCAATGCTCAACCACTGAGCCACACTGGCTGGGTGACATTCGGGCTTTTAAATGCTCTGTACAGGAGTGTTTGCTGGCCCCTCCTCTAGGTCAGTGTTTCTCAAACTTTAAGGTGCATATAGAATCACCTGGGGATCCTGTTAAAGTGCAGATTGATTCAGTAGGTCTGGCTTGGGACCTGAGATTCTGTATTTCTACAAAAGTACCATGTGGACCAGCTGCTGGTGTTCTGTGGACCACATGTTGAGAAACTGAAGTTGAAGAACAACTGTTAAATGGAGCACCTATTAAACAGTCACTGAGCATGTTGATGCTTAAAACCTTGAGCATCCTTAAGACCTAACTTGCGGCATTATTGAAACTGTATTGACCCGTGTGTGAATCTTTTCACCTTCTGTCATACTGCTGTTTATACCATCCTGGTTCAACAGAGTGATTTCAGGTACAGCCATACCAGAGTCGCTGATCTAACTCCTGCCTTTCTCTACATCTGTAAGATAATGTTGTACAGACCATGGACCCATAGTGTACTTTTCTGATACTTTCTTTTAGATTTTGCAGAAAAACTACTAAAGCAGCTAGAGAGCTCAAAGGAGAGGTTTGAAGTGAAGATGATGCTCATGAACCTCATTTCCAGATTGGTGGGAATTCACGAGGTTTGAATTACATTGTTTCTCTTGGTGGATATTGGAAATAGAATTATTTTTGCTAAAAGAAAGCCTCTAAGGTAGTAGAGTGGCTTAATTTTATCCCCCAAATCATTTAAATTCATACAATTTAGAGAAGAATAAAATCTTTTACTCTGAAAATACTATTATTATCATTTTTTTTCTTATTAGTAAGTATAAATGTTAAATTGTATATATATTTATGGACAGGACATTTTGTGTTCTATTTTTCTTATTTTGTTTCACATACATTTTTCTGAGCCAACACAACCTACATATTTTTATTGCCTATTACTACATTTCACAGGTGTTTTTTTTTGTTTTTTTTAAAATATATTTTATATTTTTTTTTAAATTTATTAAATCTTTATTGTTCAGATTACATTTGTTCCTCTTTTTTTCCCCCCCATAACTCCCCTCCTCCCCGTTCCCGCCCCACCCTCCGCCCTCACTCCCCACCCACTGTCCTCATCCATAGGTGCACGATTTTTGTCCAGTCTCTTCCCGCATCTCCCATTCCCCTTTCCCCCACCCAAGAATAGTCAGTCCATTCCCTTTCTATGTCCCTGATTCATTATAATCACCAGTTCATTCTGTACTTCAGATTATTTATTCACTTGATTCTTAGATTCACTTGTTGATAGATGCATGTTTGTTGTTCACAATTTGTATCTTTACCTTTTTCTTCTTCCTCTTCTTAAAGAATACCTTTCAGCATTTCGTCTAATACTGGTTTAGTGGTGATGAACTCCTTTAGCTTTTCCTTATCTGTGAAGCTCTTTATCTGACCTTCAATTCTGAATGATAGCTTTGCTGGGTAAAGTAATCTTGGTTGTAGGTTCTTGCTATTCATCACTTTGAATATTTCTTGCCACTCCCTTCTGGCCTGCAAAGTTTCTGTTGAGAAATCAGCTGACAGTTGTATGAGTACTCCCTTGTACTCCCTTGTAGGTAATTGAGTCTCTTTCTCTTGCTGCTTTTAAGATTCTCTCTTTGTCTTTTGCTCTTGGCATTTTAATTATGATGTGTCTTGGTGTGGTCCTCTTTGGATTCCTTTTGTTTGGGGTTCTCTGCGCTTCTTGGACCTGTAAGGCCATTTCTTTCACCAGGTGGGGGAAGTTTTCTGTCATTATTTCTTCAAATAGGTTTTCAATATCTTGCTCTCTCTCATCTTCTGGCACCCCTATTATTCTGATGTTTGTACGCTTGAAGCTGTCCCAGAGGCTCCTTACACTATCTTCATATTTTCGGATTCTTTTTTCATTTTGCTTTTCTGGTTGGGTGTTTTTTGCTTCTTCGCATTTCAAATCTTTGACTTGATTCTTGCGCTCCTCTGGTCTGCTATTGGGTGTCTGTATAATATTCTTTATTTCAGTCAGTGTATGCTTAATCTCTAGTTGGTTCTTTATCATAACATCGAGGGTCTCATTACATTTCGTGAGGCTCTCATCAAGTTTATTGGCAGCTTGTAGCACATTATTGCAAGCCCTCAAAATTGCGTTTTTTAGCTCTATATCCTCCATTTCTGTCATGTTTTTTTGTCTCCGCATTTTTTATGCTTTCTTGGTGCACCCCCTTGTGGTCTTTGTGCGCAGTCTTGTTCTAGTTAAGCCTTGATTTTTTTAGTTAATACTGAGGGATTTGACCACCAGGCCGACTGGCTGTAGGAATCAGCTGTGGGAAAACTTCTGTCCTCTGGGGAGGTGCTAATCTAGCCTTTGCCTGAGGCGATCCAGCAAATGGCTCTGCGCAGGGCTTGGGTGGGGCGGGTCGCAGGGGATCAACAGGGCGGGCGGAGGGAGCAGTTATGTCTGCTCTCAGTCCCGTTCCTAGAGGCTCTGCTTCTCAGAACCCCGGCAGCCGCTGCAAACCTCGGAGAAAAAGCTGCCCTCAGATTTCAACTGATGCCGGACAATCCCGCTTCTCCCGTCTGAGTCTGAGTCCCTAGAGACTCGCCCGGATCTGGAGCCCAGAGTCTGAGACTCACTTAGACAACCGCGCCCTCAGCCACCAGCCCACTTTGCGCGAGCACCTCCGCACCTTTAAATTTTCCACACTGTGCCTCCTCTGAGCCTCGGCACGCTGCTTTCTTTCCTTCTAATTGAAGAGTCTCTCCTCAGCCAGCCTTCCTGTGGTTCTGGGTGATGTTCGTTCCGTCTTTTAGTTGTATTTTTGAAGTGGTTGTTTGCGGCAGCAGTCTTCGGTGTTTACCTATGCCGCCATCTTGGTCTTTTTTTTTCTAAATATATTTTATTGATTTTTTACAGAGAGGAAGGGAGAAAGATAGAGAGTTAGAAACATCGATGAGAGAGAAACATCAATCAGCTGCCTCCTGCACATCTCCCACTGGGGATGTGCCCGCAACCCAGGTACATGCCCTTGACCGGAATCGAACCTGGGACCTTTCAGTCCGCAGGCCGACGCTCTATCCACTGAGCCAAACCGGTTTCGGCATTTCACAGTTTATTCCTTCATAGCTTTCCTAAGTTCCAGACCCCTCTAGTAGGAGATTGTCATGTTTGCAAAGCTGAATTCTGTGCTCATTTATTTTATGTTAAGTTAGACTGCAAGAGCTCCTTGGTGATTTTATAGATATATATATATATAATGTATGGAAACTTCCCACACACTCTTGGACCAAATGGCATTGTAGAAGAGATTCCCAAAAATTTAGGCCGTGAAGAAATGACCATTGAGGTTGTTCCCCATTATTTTGCTCTTGTGACTAGTGCTGCTATTCTGAAAATCATTGAATATGTTGCTTTCTTCAAAAAAATTTTTTAATTAAAAAAGTAAAACAGGTTTGGCTTATTTACTGAAAATTAAACAGTATAGACATAGATCAACTTAAAAATGAAAGCACTCATTCTCTTTCTCTAAGAAAAACAACACTTTTGTGAATAAACTGCTTTTTCTCTATGGTCTACAGATCTAAGGCAGGATTGCCAAGTCAATTCTTGATATATTTGTGTGGTAATTTTATGTCCAACCTGAATTTGAGCTTGATAACCAAAAGCGGTTTGTAATTTAAGCATGGTTGATGGAAATGATACAGAGTTTCACAACTGACTACAATTGGACATCCATCTTTATATTGAACCCAAACCTTCCCTGTTACTTTGGCCATGGTTTTGTTCTGTGGGTAAAATAGAAAAAATTAATTTATTTTCACATAATGAACTTTGATAGACTGGTCCATCTCCAAATTTCCTCTTCTTAAAGTTAAAAATTGCAACTGCTTGCCCTGGCCGGTGTGGCTCAGTTGGTTGGAGCATTGTCCTATACACCAAAAGGCGGCAGGTTCAATTTCCAGTCAGGGCACATACCCAGGTTGTTGTTTCAACCCCAGATGGGAGGCAACCAACGCATGTTTGTCACATCGATGTTTTTCTCCCTCCTTCTCTCGCTCCCCCTCTCCCTGTCTCTAAAATCAGTTTTAAAAATGGCAATTGCTTTAATAACGGGACCCATGTCACCTTGATTAGGTATACTCCAGAGTGGTAGTGTTTTTTCTCTAAAATAGAGCTCTGAGTAATTCCTCCAAAGTGGTTGGTCTGGTATCTAATAATAAAACGAGAATTGTGGTGTTTTTGGTGATCAGATTATAGTAGATGCTATTTAGATTTGAACTTAGTGATATAATTGGATTTGGAAAAGTGAACTTATAGTTTAGCTTTAGTTACAGAAATTTTAAAGTTTGCGTTTTTCCCCCCACAGCTTTTTCTTTTCAACTTCTATCCCTTTGTGCAAAGGTTTCTGCAGCCCCACCAAAGAGGTAAGTTGCACACTCATATGTTTCTTTGGTCATCTAGGTCATCTAGGGGTTAAAATAACCATCCAGAATTTTTTCTTCTGTAATTTGTAAAGATAAAGAGTTAGGAGTGTGCCGAAACCGGTTTGGCTCAGTGGATAGAGCATCGGCCTGCGGACTGAAAGGTCCCAGGTTCGATTCCGGTCAAGGGCATGTACCTGGGTTGCGGGCACATCCCCAGTAGGAGATGTGCGGGAGGCAGCTGATCGATGTTTCTCTCTCATCGATGTTTCTAACTCTCTATCTCTCTCCCTTCCTCTCTGTAAAAAATCAATAAAATATATTTTTAAAAAAAAAGAGTTAGGAGTGAGATGTGTTGTTTGAGAAAAGGGGAGAGAAACTCATGTTTTCTTTCCAGAATCTTCCCTGGGTTAATTGTTCTGCTCATCAACTTTAAAAAATAATTATGGGTGGTGGGGGTGGAAAGACGAATGAATTGGTTTCTCAAAGCAAGTCTTTTTTTAAAGTAGTCCTTCATCTGCAGTTTTGCTTTTATAGCTTCAGTTACCCGAGGTTCAAAAAAAAATTTAAATGGAAAATTCCAGAAATAAACAGTTCATAAGTTTATATTGCACACCATTTTGAATAGCTCCTTCAAAAGTGTAACATTAACACAATGTAGCCAATTTCTTCCTTGAAACTTAGGGTGGTCACAAGGGAATAGAGTACTCAGATCCTGTATATGTCCAGGTGAAAATAAGAGTTTTAAGGAAAGAGGAAGCAAAATAAGGACAGTAGGGAGTGCTGGGGCAGGTTCTATTTTAGATTATGCGATTAGACATTTTGATAAGGCAGCAGTTGAGTAGGTGCTTAAAGGAAGCAAGGGGGCGGAGTGTTCATGTGGAGTAAGCAGCAGCGGTAGGGCCAGAATGTCCTTACCATGTTTGCTATAGTTCAGAGAACAGCAGTAAACCCACTATGACCTTTCTAACCTCTTACATTTTTAGAAGTAACAAAGATCCTTCTGTTTGCTGCACAAGCATCTCATCACCTAGTACCCCCAGAGGTGAGAAGTCTTAAACCTTACTTTTGTCTGGATCTAGTACATCGCAGTGTTACCATTAAGTATATCATGTGGCTTTTCCCACAGGGATTACTGTCCCTCCCACCCTTATTTATTTATTTATTTATTTTATTTTGAGTAGAAGCGACTTTAACTCTTAGGGAGATATATACAGAAGTTTACTTACAGAAACTGAAAAAAAAATTACTATAGGAAGTAAACTGTTTTGGACAAGTTGTTGAGAATTCTTATTTTAATTGCCAAGTTTTATGATGGGAGGTCAAGAATATGAGTAAGTTTGTCCTTACTTTTGGTTAAATGTGATTACTTTTCAAAGCTGATAATGCCTTTCTTTGATTTAAACGGTATTGGGATTGGATTATCCTGGGTCAAAGCAATTTCTTTAATCCATATTGAAAACTAACCTTAAAGGAGAGCAAAATTTAATCTGAAGTTCGCTACAGAGACGAAAACCCAAAGTAGAGTATTTTTATCTGTCCTCCTCAGTCTTAATTCCGTCACACTCCCAAACTGAAGGTGGAATGCTGTTTCCTACTGTGAATAATCTGTTGTGCTTCATCCTCAAATATTTGAGTAGGTGCAGATGTCTTACCAGCACTCTTCTTTTATTCCCAATTCAGGTCATTCAATCCTTGCTCATGACTGTGGCCAACAATTTTGTTACCGACAAGAACTCTGGGGAAGTCATGACAGTAGGGTATGTAGAATGTGGCTGGGGGCACTGGATGTTTTTAATGTACTCGGTTAGCTTTACATGACCAGGATGGAAGTTTCAGCTGGCAGTGTGGCCTCAAAATATACTTTAGTCTTCTCAGGAGGCTTGATATTTTTACTTTATTGGTCAGAATTTTGAGGAGGGAGTCAGATAAAAGATATTTGTCTTTCTAATCAACATTTTGTTTTTTTACTAGCTTCACTTTTTCAAATGAATGTTTGGCGATCAGCATTTTTCTCCTGTCTCTATCCTGAATTCATATCTTCCCCTGGAACAAATGATTTATTGTTGAATCACTCTAATTCCTAGACAGTAGCCCTTTTGATTCATTTAAAAATGCTTAATGAGTGTGAGTACTGGTTTAACAATGATCTAATCTGTCCTGATAACTAAGCAGTATGTTGAGAGCTACTTTTTATGGACTTATTGCTAGGATAACAGCTCTAAAAATCTTTAGCTTTTCTTATTTGACCTAGTCCCGTTTCCCCTTAGAGTTAGCAAGTGAATGCTACCATTATTTACTTTGTAAAGAAGATACTATTTCCTATATCACTGTAGGGGAAATGGTAGTAAGCTCTCTGGAACAAAGCCCTCTAAGGCTGCCCACTCTCACATTCTCTCCTGTGTTGCAGTTTTAGAGACCTAAGCTCTATAAAACCCAACTTCTTCTATCCCTTTTTAGTCTTTTTAGGACACCTTCTTAAATTGAACCATATGAAATTGCTTTTTGGGTTCTTTTGAATGTTTTTTCCTTTTCTAGAATTAATGCTATAAAGGAGATAACAGCTCGATGTCCTCTAGCCATGACTGAAGAACTTCTCCAAGACCTGGCTCAGTATAAAACACACAAAGATAAGAGTAAGTTGCATGTTAGTCTCTGTAGACCAAAGAATATAGGATGATTCATTTTTATCTCAAAAGACACTTAGCTCTGGAGTTTCTAAATTAAAGGTCTAATTTTACAGATGTAATGATGTCTGCTAGAACTTTGATTCAGCTCTTCCGAACACTGAATCCTCAGATGTTACAGAAGAAATTCCGGGTAGGTGAAGCGTGCATATATTGATCTAAAGGGTATGGTCTCAGAAGGTGAGAGTGATCCTACAGTTTGAGTTTAAGTGTTTGTGAGGCTTACATTATGAGTATTGGTGATATGCCTGGTTTATTCTTTAAGCTCAGAATACAATTGATTGAATACCATTGCCTTAAATATTTGATGACAACTGAGTCTTATAGATCAGTCAGGCTGTTTAATCATTAATCGATTGAAATCCCAAAGATTAATCAGTAGCTGATGCCAGTATTGAATGGGCAATCCCCAGACAGATACCACCTCTTTGGAGTTGCAAGGGAAGAGAGATGGGTGTATGTGACAGAAAAAGAGATGGTGATCTCAAGACTTAAGAATCAGAACAGAGCCCTGGCCAGTGTTGCTAAGTGGTTAGAGCATCAGCCTGCACACGAAGGGTCTTGGGTCTGATTCTGGTCAAGGTTGTGGACCTGGGTTGCAGGTTTGATCCTGTCCCCGGTCAGGGTGTATGCAGGAGGCAACCAATCAATCTATGTCTCTTTCTCACATCGATGTCTCTCTCCCCATCTCTCTCTTTCTCAACAACAACAACAAAAAAGGAATCCTAATGGATATTCTCTAATAACTTCCAGTTTCCTGATCTGGATCAGAAGAGAGCGGGAAAATAGTGGACAGAGTTCTCACTGGGAAATTTACATTGACCCAAGGCATATATGGATTGATCTTTGTCATTTGATTACTTCATTTTTTGTGATTCTCCCCTCTAAATTCATAATCCTAGGAAATCCTTTTCATGAATAATGATTTACAATCTAAGAACCATATTAAAAACAATTTCCTTTCCTTTAGGGTAAGCCTACAGAGGCCTCTGTAGAAGCAAGAGTACAAGAATATGGAGAACTAGATGCTAAAGATTACATCCCAGGAGCAGAAATTCTAGAAATTGAAAATGGAGAAGAGAATGCGGAAAACGATGAAGGTTCATTTTTATTTCACCATTATTTGGGACATAGTCACTCCTATATCTGTATTGACCTTGAAATCTTTACGCTATTGAACATTCAGCAGTGACTTTATGCCAGGCACTGTTACAAGCCTTGGGGATCAAATGGGCATGGTTCCTGCTACTAGGGAACTTACATTCGAGTTTAGATGTCTTTTCATGTTCTTCAGGGTGGCTGCCCCTTACCAATGGTATGCTGGTCACTTGGGAAAGATAATGGTTTTTTGTTGATTGCCTGGAAAAAAAAATGATGTATTTATTAGTCCTTAGCAATCTTCCAAAATTCTCCTGTTGAAAAAGGCTTGTTGAATTTGTTGAAGAATGCTTGAGGATCTCCATTCTGACTTTCTTATATTGGTTGCTAAAGTCCTGTCTTTTTCCTGTTCATTCATTCATGATTTCAGCAAAGCTTTTTTAAGCATTAGCTGTGGGCTGGCCACTGTCAATACAAGGATGAATGATATGGTTCCTGCCCTGCAGGCATGAAAAAAAGAGCTGAGAATAAAGTGTTACTAGGATTTATAATTGGAGTGAGGCATAAGGGCAGGAGAGAGGTCAGGTCAACCTCCAAGGTTCAGAAAAGGCCTCAAGGAGATGGTAACCCATAAGCTGTATTTTGAATTATAAGTGAGGAATGGTAGAACAATGGAGACTTTCCAGGCAAACTGTGAGCAAAGACCTAAAGGATTTGGCCAACTTACAGTGCAGAATATAAAGTAGACAATAGTCAAATAGTAGACTAGAGTCTGAGTTGGGCCTTACCATGACTGGTTGTGTATATGCCATACCAAAGAGCTGGGACACTATTATATAGAACACTAGAAGCCCGGTGCACGAATTTGTGCACTAGTGGGGTCCCTTGGCCTGGCCTCTGGGATCGGGCCAAAACCGGCTCTCTGATATATCCCGAGAGGTCCCAGATTGTGAGAGGGCACAGGCTAGGCTGAGGGACCCCACCAGTGCATGATTGGGGCCAGGGAGGGACGTGGGAGGTTGGCCAGCCAGGGAGGAACCATGGGAGGGCTCTGGAGCATGTCTAGCCCGTCTCAGTCCCGATTGGCTGGACCCCAGCAGCAAGCTAACCTACCGGTCAGAGTGTCTACCCCCCTGGTGGTCAGTGCATGTCATAGCGAGTGGTTGAGCGGCCTTAGATATCATTAGCATATTACACTTTGATTGGTTGAATGGACAACCGGACACTTAGCATATTAGGCTTTTATTATATAGGATGAGGAACCACTGAGATTGTAAGTAGCTGATTTTGAAAGCGTACTATGGTGGCTCCATTAAGAACACTAATACCCCTTTATTGTGATGTCTGCAAGGTGTTTTTTGTTTGTTTGTTTTTAATATGTTTTTTATTGATTTTCTAGAGCAAAAGGAAGGGAAAGGGAGAGAGATAGAAACACATTGATAGGCTGCCTCCTGCATGCACCCTACTGGGGATCTGGATCACAACCTGGCATGGTCCCTGACTGGGAAACCAGTGCCCTTTTGGTGCACAGGATGATGCCAAACCAACTGTGCCACACTAGCCAGGGCTGCAAGGTTTTTTAACATCCAAAATCTTCTACCTCAGTTCTCTGAATGACTGTTCTAACCAGTTTCTAAAAACATTTCTTAATGTGCTTAGAAGAGTTGGGTACTTCCTTTGTAGCCAAGATAACTGTACTGTACAAGTGCAGTTTGATGTACATGGTTTGGTGGGAAGAACGTGGTCTCTGGAGTCAAACATGATTTTCAGAATTTCAGTGTAGGCTGCATTTTCTGACTGGCCTGGAACAGGTGCCTTAACGCAATATCCTGTTCCTCTTCTATTGAGTCTTGAGGGTTAGAGAAAGTGAAAGAATTCGGCCGAGGGTAGATACTTGGTCAGTGTTTAATTCCCATTCCTACAATGAATTAAATTGATGTGGCTTATTTAACAATAAATACTGATCAATCCTTGGTTTGTAGAGCATCTATTTGAGGTTCATAACCTTACTTTCACTTGATTTATCTCCACTTGCCATGAGTACTCAGCACAAAGCGATAGACTACCTGTGCTCTCTCACACAGACGGGTGGGAAAGTGCCAGTCTCAGTGAGGAGTCAGATGACGGGGAGTGGGTTGACGTGCACCACTCTTCTGATGAAGAACAGCAAGAAATCGTAAGTTTCAACATTTCCTTCTATCAGTGCATCACTCCAGTGTTCATTAAGGCTTAATTCATGCTGAGCCTTACTGAGGGACTGAGCTCTCACCTGAGCTTGTAGCCTTGAAAGCCTTTGCTGTGTCCTTAAAGGCTAAGAAGCTGAGCAGCATGCCTGTGGAGGAGCGGATAGCCAAAGCTGCAGCCGTCAGCACCAGCCGAGTTTTAACTCAGGAAGACTTCCAGAAAATCCGCCTGGCCCAGATGAGGAAGGAACTCGACGCTGCCCCCGGGAAAGCCCAGAAGAGGAACTATATCGAAATAGACAGTGATGAAGATTCCAGGTACAGCAGCACATGCCCTAGGTCTTTAGGCAGCTCCCATGGTAATGAAAGTATTAGAGAGAGGAATTCCACCCTTGTTTCATGTTACATTTTTCCTTCATCTCAGGGGCGAGTTGCTTTCTCTTCGGGACATTGAACGCCTTCATAAAAAGCCAAAGTCTGACAAGGAGACAAGACTAGCAACTGCAATGGTGAGTGAGGCATACTGTTCCCTAGTCCTGTAAACAGAAAACAAAGAAATGAAACATGACCCAGAACTTGTATAGGCACAGAATGGTAGTATTTTACTTTAATGTTTTGACTAAAGCTGTACTGAACATAGAATAAAATGCACAGGCATGAGGCGTTCAGTTAGATGAGCTTAACAACTAGGCAGCCATGTAACTACCATCCAAAACATGTTGTAGATAACAGGAAGCACCATTACATGTTCATGGTATCAGGGAGGCTCAGAACACTACCAGAGCTGATAGAAAAGCAGGGGAGTGTTTGCAGTCATTAAGGAAAAGGCAGACAGTTGGAGTCTGCCTCTGGCAAGTACGGTGTGGTTGCACCCCGCCGACATTTCCACCTTTATTTTCTGTGCCTTTGCTTGTCTTAGGCATCAGGCCATCCTGGCTCCACATCACCCTCTGCATTCCGTTTGTACTAAAATCTGTTCAGTTAAGTTAAAAAAAAACCATGTTCTTTCTCCACACCTTTCCATATGCTATTATTCCTATTTCCTGAAATGCTCTACCCCTTTTTCTCCTTTCCCCTTACCATGAATGCCTTCATCCTGCAAAAAAAAAGCTCACAGGTCTCCCTTTCTAGGAGGTTCCTCGGACCTCACCAAGCTGAATTATTATGACTTTTTTTGCCTCCACTTTTTTTTTCTCTTTTTATTGATTAAGGTTTTACATATGTGTCCTTATCCCCCCCATTACTCCCCCACCCCCCTGCTCATACCCTCACCCCCCTGGTGTCTGTGTCCATTGGTTAGGCTTATATGCATGCATACAGGTCCTTTGGTTGATCTCTCCCCCTTACCCCCACCCTCCCCTACCTTCCCTCTGAGATTGGAGCATCTGATCAATGCTTCTCTGTTTCTGTTTTTGTTCATTGGTTTACATTGTTCAATTATGACTTTTTTCCCATGAGCTCCTTGCCCCATTACAGTTGATCACGGTCCATTTCCCCTGGACTGAGTCCTGGGGAGCAAGGACTGTGTTCCATTCATCTTTGTGTCCTTGGCATCCAGTAGAGCACCTGGCACAGGAGAGATGTGTATATTGATTAGGTAACTCATGAAATGTTTTTTGTGTGTGTGCTGACAGGCTGGAAAGACAGACCGAAAAGAATTTATGAGGAAGAAAACCAAAATGAATCCATTTTCCAGTTCCACAAATAAAGAGAAGAAAAAACAGAAGAACTTCATGATGATGCGGTATAGCCATAATGTCCGCTCAAAAAATAAGCGTTCCTTCCGAGAAAAGCAGGTGAGTTCATCTTGAAACTTGGGATTGTCATTCTAAGACACCTTTACTTTTGGGATGGACTTGTGCCTCTAAAGACCTTGCATTGTGTGTGTCTTAGGATTAATGGGAGTATTATTGGAGAGGTGGAAGATAGGGTGTGTCAGTCCTAGACCTGACTTGGTTGGGACTCATCTGTCCAAAGGGGAGTCTGTTTTTCTCCTCTAAGTAAAAGGGTGCAGTTCATTCTCTTGCTAAAATTCTCTGACATTTATGTGAACTATAGTATAAAAATTGAGTAAGAATTTTTGAGTGCTTATAATATGTCTGGTACTTTTTTAGAAGCAATAATTATATGTGGTAATAGCTCGGAAACAGTTTTAGTGAAGCACACAAACGAAATGGTTCCCCAATGGTTCGTGCCCTTTTGCACAGCCTTTATGCTTACAGGCCTTTGGGATTACATTTTATCTATTTTTGATCTTTCATGGTTAGTTTTTTTCAGTAGTTCATTGTAGTAAAACAAATTTATATTTTAATGTCTTTTTCTACTGGGGGTATACCAGAATGTATCAAACTATTCTGAAGAATCTCCAGGGTATCCGGTCAAGGGTAAACTAGTCTCACATTCTGAACCAGTGTTCCAAAATGCTCAGCCTGAATGCAATGGCCAGCTCTCCAGGTCAGTGTTCTGTCTGGGAACCAAGGCAGTATTAACTTAATTGAGGAACCATTTAAAGTCTACTGTCTGTTTACTTAATCTTCCTGGTTCTAAACTGTGTTATGTAAATAGTAAAGTGACAGTATTTTTAATAGAAGTTGTTGAAATTGAGGTAAAAGGAAAGCTGCCATTTAATATTTAAAATTTCCCAGTTCAATTTAAATTCATAGTTGAATTTATTAATTCCATTAGTTTATCCTTCACCTGCCCTTTGTAAGAGTTTAGGGTTGAGGAAATAGTAATAGTTTATAGGACTTGCTTCATTATGAGATTTTCGTGGCTTTGTTACATTTTAGCTACTTCCTCTCAATTTTAGCATGCCTTTTTTGGCTTGATACAGAAGCTTGGCCTTGTTCCTTGTCAGCATGTTTGTTTAATCAGCATACAGCAATATGAGCAGGTACTGTGATTAAACCAGTTTTACAGATGAGAAAATAATTCATAAATAGATGAGTCTGAGAAATACCTTCTTAGCCATGGAAATTAGGTTAAAATGAACTTGATTTTTTTTCCTGCCTCAAGTGTGCTAGCTATTCTGCCTAACAAAGGAATACCAACACATAGATAAGAGCTAAAGGCAAGGAGCCAATAACTTAAAATCATAAAATTTAAAAACTTAGAACATTTAGATGTAGAGCCAGGCAGCTTCCTCTTCTCCCTCCCCCCAAATGAACACGTGTCCTTTAAAATTCAAAAACTACAGATCTTTAAAAGTTTCTAGGAATCCAAGAGTAATACTTGGGAATTAATGGGATAGTATTCATTACACACTTACAATGTGTACATTGACCTTGGTTGTCTTTTTTAAACTTTGGGTTTATTCATAATGCTCCATCTCTGCACTCTGTAGCTGCTCCTGTTTTGAGCTTTTGTCCCATGTGGTGGGAACAGTATTCAAGAGCTTTGCCTATTTCCTAGCAGTAAGGAGGCCCTAGCCTGGTTACAGATCTGATCTGTTATGGAATATTTCACTATTTGTAGTTTTGGGGGATGACTTCTTGACTTAGTGATTCCATTTTGGTACACTTTCATATAACCACATTATTATAATTTTGTATCCCAAGACTTACCATGTTTAGTTGTCTTTTTCTTATCTTCCAGTTGGCACTACGAGATGCGCTTTTGAAAAAGAGAAAAAGAATGAAGTAACCTGGACAAGCAAGTTTAGCACTCCAAAGAGAATGCTCAATTTGTGTCATTACTCTGAAAATTAATAAACTGAGAATGTTTACATTAAATAGTCCAGAAACACTATACTGTGAAAACCAAAGTAAATTTGGTAGCATTTTGGTGTTTTTATTTTGGAGGTGGATAATGGTGGGAATATTTGAAATGTAAACAGTCGTGATGTTGTAAAATCATTTAGCAGTCATGTGAGAATAAACTCTTCGGTGCCTATTATCACTATCGATGTAAAAATGACCAAAATCCCTCATTAAAGGCATCCACAGCCTATTTGGAGGATGCGGGGGACAGACGTGTGTATATGTGTATCTATGTGCAGTGTAAATAGTTCTCTGGTAGAGATAGGTCCATCTTCCTGTGGGGTCATGGAGATCTTGTAGATGAGCTCTGCAGGGGGCAGGGTTACATATTCTCTTCAAATGAAACAGGACAATGTTACAAGAGTAAGAGGTTCTTACTTGTAAATAGGCTTACCTGCTGAAAACAGGTCCCTGCTGTACAGATTTTGGGTAGACTATTTAGCTCTTTTAGTCCATCCAAAAGATTTAAATATTTTTTGAATGCCAGGTTAAAACCTTGCTTTTTATATTGCCTTAAGTATAAATAGTAATCTTGGAGTGTCTTTATCATTTGGGCTGCTCACGTCCCCATAGAGAAAAAGAAAATCAAATTAGTTTCCTTAGCCTTTTTCACCTTTAATATTTTCAGCCTTGTGTCCAAAGAAAGGTTTCTAATATCAAATAGGTCTTCTTGTGTGTTGAGTGGCTGCATTGGTCTCCCTTCCCTAGGTGTGCTTGGGTAGATTTCAGGGGGCATGAAAGCAGGTCAGTCTCTCTGTTTGCAAGTTGTTGCATTTGGAAAGTTTGTTGCCTTTTACCTCAGATTTCTTAGATAATATTGTAGATGATGAAATTACTCTATATTGCTTTCAAGTAAAAAGCAATTTTCTGCTTACTCTGAATTAGAAAGCAGCTTCTAAAACTACTTTTCTCCTTCCCTTTCAGTATCTTCTGTTCACTTTCTAAGTTCAACTTGAGTTTTATTTGAAGGAAACTGTGTGACTTTCCCCAAAATACTGGGGATTAGTTGTGAAGACCTTGAGGTTTAATGACTCAGTTGCACTGGCCTAGTGAGGGGAGCTCTCAGAGTCAACCTGGGCAACTTCAGTATTTCACAGAATGTGCCCCATGCAAATTTGAATGGTTCAGACTAGAAACTGCTCTCTTTGCACATTTGAACTGTCTCGTGTATCTAGCTTGAGAGAGGGGTAAATAAAACCAAAATGACATAGCAGCCAGGATCCACAGCTTTGCTGCCTGAATTGTGATGGTACCTGAAAATTGCATCCTTTCGCTAGACTTTCACACCCACCTAGGTGCCGAGACACCAAAGTCCATGTGTTCTGACTTCTGTTCTAATGTGGCTTCACCCTGCTCTTAACTGAAATGTATATGCAAGATAGAAAACTAGCTGGCTTACAAGGGTGCAGTCTTAACTCTCTTTTATTTCTTCAGTCCCATAGTATCTTATCTTACTATGGTCCCTTTTATTATTTTATAAATCTCAAGAATATTTTATGTTTGTTTACTATAGATTTGAAGATCAGGCCCTCACAAGGGTGGCTGCTGCCAGCAAAGGCAGAGTAGCCTTTCAGGGTGAAATTTACCTTGAAGAAGCCACCAGGGTCTCTGTTTTAGCTTTTCAGACTCACTTTTTTGTCCGCACTGGGAATGGATCCATTTCTGGGATGAACTCATATTGTCCAAGCTCATATATAGTTACATGAAGCGATGTATAAATCTGGAATGATAATGTATTATGTATGTGATCTTAGCAAATTCCATCGGAAAATAAGCGCCACAAAAGGCAGAGGCTGTTCCCTGCTCTATGCCCAGGCTCAGTAAATATTTGAAACATGACCTCCCTCATTGATCGTTTTGAGGTTCTGAGAACTAATAGCTATTTATAAGAACTTAGCATGGTATTTGCCACAAAGTACGCATTCAGTAAATTTCTCATCAAAGGTTAGATATCGATTAAGTTTTTATTTTATCTTTTGCTTAATTTACTCTTGAAATGACAATTGCAGTTGCTACAAGTATTTGTTTTATCCCTCATCCATTTTGGGGGGAACTAGTTTGAAATACAAAGATATATATTGAATGCTCACTGTATGCAAAGCAGCCTGCTAGATGCTGGGTGGGTTGCAAACACAATGTTTGTGTCATACAGAAACTTTGAAACCCATGAAGGAAATAGACTTTAAAAATAACTATGTAATACAGAGCCACTTACAGAGCTATCAAAAAAGGCACATAGCTTAGGGCAGGGCATCCTGACGAAGGGGCAGTTCAGCTGGCAGGAGGGTTTGCTGACAAACATGCTTAGGATGAACAGGGCAGCAGTAGGAAATGGATTCTTGAATCATCAAAGAAAAAGTTAGGGTTTAAAAATTGGTACAACTTTTTAAAGGTTATTGTTAATTAAATTTTGTTTTGTTACTTCATATTCTAATTCTTTGAAAATTTATAATGTATGTAGAGTGTTGTATGGCAGCTCTGTATTAACCAGAATGTTTAATCAGTTGGAATGCTCTGTTCTTCAAACTATATTAAAACTGTTTTAAAACTATTTTAAACACTTTAAACCTGTTCTACTAAGTGACATCCTTTCATTGTATAAAAAATAAAACTAAAAATTAACTATTGCTGCCCTGACCGGTTTGGTTCAGTGGATAGAGCGTCGGCCTATGCAGTAAAGGGTCCCGGGTTCGATTCCGGTCAAGGGCATGTACCTTGGTTGCGGGCACATGCCCAGTAGGGGGTGTGCAGGAGGCAGCTGATCGATGTTTCTCTCATTGATGTTTCTGACTCGCTATCCCTCTCCCTTCCTCTCTGTAAAAAATCAATAAAATATATTTTTTTAAAAATTAACTATCTACACTAATAAAAGAGAAACATGGTAATTAGCGTACGACCGCTACCCTTTTCATTGGCTAATCAGTGAGTATATGCAAATTAACTGTCAGCCAAGATGGCGGCCGGCAGCCCAGGCACTGAAACGAGCATGAGGCTTGCTTGCTGCGGACTCCAACGTTCCCCGCCTCACTTGCCAGCCACTCAGCTGCAAGTCTAAGCAACTATGTACTATGTTGCAAATAAGCTAAACAAAACACCAGAAACCAGCCGGACTGAAAGCCAGCTGGACCGAAACATTGTATCCATGTTTTCAGCAGCGAGGCCTCAGAGCTAAAGCTGGCCCAGAATTAAAAAAAAAAAAAAAAAGAAAGAAAACAAGGAGCGGTTGGGAGCTTTAGTCACCCGCTTCCGGAAAACAGCCCTCAGCCCCTCACCCAGACTGGCCAGGCACCCCAGTGGGGACACCCACCCTGATCCAGGACACTCTTCAGGGCAAACCAGCCAGCCCCTGCCCATGCACCAAGCCTCTATTCTATATAGTAAAAGGGTAATATGCCTCCAGGCACCGGGATCAGCATGACGGGGCAGTGCCCAAACCCCCTGATCGCCCTGCGGCTCTGTGAGTGACAGGGGGTGGGGCCACAACCTCCCTATCCGCCCTGCTCTGTTCGAGACAGGGGAAGGTACCCCAACCCCCTGATCAGCTCTGCTCTGTGCCTGATAGGGGGGAGCTCCCCAACCCCCTGATCGGCCCTGCTGTGTGTGTGACAGGGTGCAGCGCCCCAACCTCCCCCACTTCCCATGGGCCCTGCTCTGTGTGTGACAGGGTAGAGCCATAACCTCTCCATCAGCCCTGCCCCGAGTGTGACATTGGTGGTGCCCCAACCCCCAGATCGGCCCTGCTCTGTGGGTGATAGAGGGTGGCGCCCCAACCCCCCTCCATGGGCCTTGCTCTGTGTGTGACAGGGTAGAGCCATAACTTCCCCATTGGCCCTGCCCTGAGTGTGACAGGGTGCAGCGCCCCAACCCCCTGATACCTGCTCTGTGAGTGACAGGGGGGAGTTCCTCAACCCCCTGATTGGCCCTGCTCTGTGACAGGGGGCAGCGCCCCAACCCCCTGATCGGCCCTGCTCTGTGCATGACGGGGTGGTGCCGCAACTTCCCCATCGACCCTGCCTTGAGTGTGACAGGGGGCGGTGCCCCAACCCCCCAATCGGCCCTACCCTGAGCGTGACTGAGGGTGGCATCGCAACCTCCCGATCCGCCCTGCTCTGTGCATGACGGGGCGGCGCCCCAACTCCCCAATCGGCCCTGCTCTGAGCCTGACCAGGGGCTGCACTTAGGGATTGGGCCTGCCCTCTGCCACCTGGGAGCAGGCCTAAGCCAGCAGGTCATTATCTCCCGAGGGGTCCCAGACTGCGAGAGGGCACAGGCCGGGCTGGGGGACCCCCCTCCCGCCGCCCCCCGAGTGCACAAATTTTTGTGCACCGGGCCTCTAGTTGCTTACATATTTTTAGAATGTATAAAGAGATTTTTAAAAGATATTGAATTGGAATAGGAAGGTAAATTGCTGACATGGATCGTTTTCTCTTAGTGCAGTTTTTGGTCTGTACATGTTTAAAACGAAACAAGAATGGAAAGCACAGGTCATTCAGTACTATTTAATACCATATATATCAGGGCACTCCTATGTGATCATTTTATTTTCTCCTGCAAATTCTGCTTTCATTTATTTGTCAATTTGATCTCAATATGGAAATGGTTAAACTATGATTTATCCACGTGGTGGAATATTATGTAGCCTTTAAAATGTTTACAATAGGAAATGCTTATAAATGAAATGAACAAAACACAAAGTATTTATAGTATAATCCAATTACACATGAGTGAATAGGGACTAATAAAAGCTCAAGAAACATGCCAAATATTAAACATGGTTTTCTTCGATGTTGGTTGGAATCATGTGAGGGGTTTTTTCTTTCTACTTTACTTTCTGAATCTTTTACAGCATACATGTTTTTACTTATGTCATTGTATGAGAAACAACTTTATTTGAGGCCAGAGAATAAAGTTGCGTTAAGACACTCTCGTGATTTTTTTTTTTTTTTGGACCATTTGGAGGGGAATGTACTTAAACCAAGGCAAGGGTTAATCTGCAGATACGCCAAAGGAGTTGTGATCTCCCCTTCTTAGCCACTCTCTCCTCTTGTTTACTGACAGGGTACTAGATGGGACCCTTTTTCTCTACCCAGCAATCCCCAATGTTAGCTAAAGTGCTATCATATAATAAAAGCCTAATATGCAAATTGACCGAATAGCAGAATGACCGGTCACTATGATGTGCACTGACCACTAGGGGGCAGACACTTAATGCAGGAGCTACCCACAGGCCCCAGACTAGCCAAGGAGGGTGCCAGCGAAAGCCCCCCCCCCCCAATAATCCCGCCAGTCACCCCACAGAGGGAGGTGACCAGTGGCGGGGGGTGGGGGGGGGCGGCGAGCAGGTGGTGCCAGGCCAGCCAAGGTGGGTGCCAGTGGGGGCCCCCGGTCACCCCACAAATGGGCCCTGATTGCCTGCCAGGCCTAGGGACTCTACCTGTGCACGAATTTTGTTAGTATTAACAAAATTCTAGTGTTAGTATAATTCTTAGAGAAAATAATTTATAGTATGTGCTAAGACCTAAAAATAGTCATAACCATTGTCTCAAACCTACATCTGAAAGTCTAATCTAAGAAAATGGTCCGAAATATGGCAAGAGATGTGTTTGGGGCTGTTCTGCTGCAAGTAACTGAATACACATCTAAAAATAGTATAACCAAATATTGGAGAATCACATGAGAAGTCTGGAGGTACACAGCTGCTGGTCTGAGCTGTCATGCCCTCAGGATCTTGGGCTCTGCTTTGTCATTCTTAGTGTGTTGAAGCCAAACTCTGGATTCAAATGCTGACTGGCATAGCTGTATGACCACATTTTAATCAACATTTCTGTGCTGCAGTTTCCTTATCTATAAAAATGGAAATAATGATAATACCTTTACCTTCATAGATAGTTCTTCTGTGTTTAAGGCAACAAGAAAGGGCGTTCTTAAGATATAGTCCCTTAAGTGGAATCACTGGGTCATAAGGCATTTTTAATTTTTGAAGAATCTCCATACTCTTTTCCACAGTGGCTGCACCAGTCTACAATTTAACAATTTTATAAATATAGTATGCATATGAAAATAGTTGCTGGGTTTGTATGGTAGTACTATAGCTGATTAGGTTTTCTCTTTCTGTACGTATTAAGCATGTATAACAGTTCTCCAGAGAAACAGGACCAGTAGGAGGGAGACAGAGAAATAGATATAAAATAGGAATTGACTCATGAGATTGTGGAGGCTGAGGAATCCCATGATCTGCTATCACAAGCTGGAGAACCAGGAAAAGTGGTGGTGCCATTCAGTCTGAGCCTGAAGGCCCGAGAACCAGGACTGCCAAGGTCCCAGGCAAGAGAAGATGAATGTCCCAGCTCAAGTTCAAAGAGCATATTTGCGCTTCTGCTGCCTTTTCTGTTCAGGCCCTCCAAGGGCTGGATGATGCCCACTGCATTAGTGAGAGTGAGCTTCCTTACTCAGTCTGTCCAACTTCTTTCTCTTTTGGAAAGTCCCTCACACACACATTGGAGGCTGAGATAGCCCGTGATCTGCTGTCACAAGCAGGTCCTTTAGCTGGGCATTTCTTAGCCCTGTCACTCTGACACATAAAATTAACCATCATAAAACATTTTGTAATGTTGCTGTAAAACATTTATAATAAACATTTTTTAAAAATAATCTAAAACATTACTTCTACTTCCATTCTTAGCAAGATCCAATTTTGGAGTACCTGCTATGCCTAATACCTAAGTTAACATCAGATCCAGGAATACTTTAAAAGGAAATTTGGCCCTAACTGGTTTGGCTCGGTGGATAGAGTGTCAGCCTGCGGACTGAAGGGTCCCAGGTTCAATTCCAGCCAAGGGCATGTACCTTGGTTGTGGCCACATCCCCAGTAGAGGGTGTGCAGGAGGCAGCTGATCGATGTTTTTCATCCATGTTTCTAACTCTCTATCCCTCTCCCTTCCTCTCTGTAAAAAATCAATAAAATATATTTTTACAAAAAGGAAATTTGACCAAGTGGCAAGGTAAATTGTGGACAAAATGGGAACCTGATTCTAGAAAATGTTACAAAAGAGGAAGTTTAAAATAATTACATGGAAACTAAGAATAAATTGTATTTCACAACTTCTTGCTTTAAGGATACTTGAATCTTTCCCTTTTGAAAAATTTTTATAAACATTTTACCATTTAATTGTGATTCAGAAAAATATAGAATATAAACATCAATCTCCCAGATTTATTCAATTTTAAGTTTTACCATAGTCATTTTTAAAGAAACAAAACATTAAGAGTACTATAACTAACGCCCCACTCAGCCATTTTTCCTCCTTTCTCAGGACTAACCACTATCTTCTCCATGCCTGTTATTCCTTTAGTTATATTTTACTATATTTGTGCATGTATTTGTATGTGTATGTATATAGCAGACAGTATCATTTAGTATCTTTTAAAATTTAACAAATAAAATTGTTTATAGTATTTTGCTATGTAACATTAGATTCTTTCATTTTAACTGTTGTAAAGTTTTCCATCTATTCATTACCCTACTTCAGAGCAGTTAGATTGTGTCCACCTTTTCACTATTTAAAAAGTCTTGCCCCATAATGTCTTTGTAAATATCTCCTTGGGCATATGTCTTAGAGTCTTTTTAAAAAAAAATTTTTTTTAATCCTTACCAGAGGATATGCTTATTGATTTTAGAGAGAGGAGAAGGGAGAAAGGGAGAGAGAAACATTGATGTGAGAGAGAACATCTATCGGTTGACTTCTGTATGTGCCCCAACCAGGGATTGAACCCACAACCTAGGTATGTGCCCAGACTGAGAATCGAACCCACAACCTTTTGGTATACAGGATGACACTCCAACCAACTGAGCTACACCGGCCAGAGTTAGAAACTTTTCTTTATCCAGTTTACATAGAAACCTAGAAATGGAATTCTGGGTTGTAGGGTCCATGATTCTCCAACTTCCCTAGGTAATACTAAAATGCACATTCCTTCCAACAACTCATGAGTTCTTATTTTAGCACATCCTTGTCAACACTTGGTGTTATTAGACTCTAAAACTCTAGACAATCTGTTGTTGATGAAATGGTATTGTTTTAAGATGGATTTTAGTGATTAATGTTATGCCCAGATTTCAGGATCCCCAGGAAACCACACCAGGGAGCCAGCCAGGTCCGATGCAAAAGCATAAGAGTCTTTTTTTTTTTTTATTCTTTAAAAAAAAATATTATAATAAGTATTACAAAGGGTATTACATATGTGTCCTTCCCCCACCCCCCCCCCGCCCTTGACAATCCCCTGCCCTCCCTTACCCCCCAGTGTCTTATGTCCATTAGTTAAGCATAAGAGTCTTTATTCGAGCTAGCTCAGCTCCCCCACCTCGCCGATGCAGCGGCAGGAAGCAGAGAGAGACAGCTCTGTGGGGAAAGGGGTTTTATAGTAAGGGGAAGAGAGAGGACTGGGGGCCCTGCCGATTGGCTAGGCACAAGTCGGTGTCTTGTTACACAGGATGTGGTCGTATCTATGGCACGCACTTCCCTTGATTATCATTGGTTAGTTTAAAGAAATCCTAGGTGTGGCTTGCAGAGGTTTGGCCTCCAGGAAGAAGCTCCTTGCTGAGCACATGGCTGCTGCCCAAAATGGAGGATTCAGGGCAAGATGGAGGGCGTAGCCCTCGCCCTTTCAATTAACAGTGAGATTGAGATTGCTTCACATGGATTTTTACTATTTGATTTCCCTGTTTTTATATCCACTTGATTTTCTTTTTTCTTATTGATTCATAGGGGTCTATTCGTATATTCTGGATACGAATTCTTTATCAATTACTTATATTGCAAGTATCTCCACAGACAGGAAATGCCACCTCTGTGATAAACTAAGTTCCCATGTATACTTTGGATCTGGGAATTTTCAAAACAAGTTCTAGATCCTTTAAAAATATAGATGTTTTTACAGCAGTTTTAAGTTCACAGCAAAATTGAGCATAATGTAGAGAGTTCCCATATACAGAACCCCCTGCTCCCCCCACTTCTGTATAGCCTCCCCATTATCAATATCTCCTACCAGAATGTTACATTTGTTACAATTGATAAACCTACATTGACACATTATCACCCAAAGTCCATTATTTACATTGGGGTTCATTCTTGGTGCTGTACATTCCCTGGGTTTGGACAAATGTATAATGACATGTATCTACCATTGTAGTATCATCCAGGGAGTTTCACTGCCCTAAACATCCACTTTACTCTGCCCATTTCCCTCTCTTCCTCCTGACAAGTTCTGATCTTTTTACTTTATAGAAAGTTTTACCTTTTCCAGAATGTCATAGAGTTGGAATCATAACAGTATGTGGCCTTTTCAGATTGGCTCCTTTCACTTAGAAATATGCATATAAGTTTCCTTCATGTGTTTTCCTGGTGGGACCACTCATTTCTTTTTAATGCTGAATTATATCCCATTGTCTGGACAAAATCACCAAACTCATTTCTCAAAAGGTATCCCCAACATTAAGCGGTGCATGATTGTATGAGTAAGAAGACTCGTTCCTCTCTGGCTCTTGGTAGAGGTCTCAGTTCCTCACATTAGGAACTTTTTCATAGGACTTCTTTAGTGTGGCTTCCTTCAGGGTGAGCCATCCAGGAGCGAGTGCAAGGAGGAAGCTGCAATGTCTTTTGTGACCTCGTATTGGAAGTCAGACATCACCACCTCGGCTTTAGTCTATTGATTCATTACAAGCAAGTCACTAAGTGTAGCCCATAGTTAGGAGTGGTGGTGTTTCTTAACTACCACACTGCTTTTAAACTGAACAGAATGAGATGCCAGGTATAAAAAAGCTGTTATATTCCATGTTTCTGATACAATCAGCTACCTTCTTTCATTCCCCACAGAAGCATTTTTTAAACTGTAGGCTCTGGTGCATAGATAAGCCATGAGCAATGCCCAGTATCTCTGAAATTTGCACAGCACAGAAACAGCAGAAAGGAGAAGGCTCAGAGTTTTGCAATTCCAGATCTCCCTTTTTTTTTTTTCCGAATTAAAGAGTCACATTTATTGCAATCCGGGATTATGAGGGGCCATTCCCCAAATCTCATAGTGATAAGATGGTGGCAAAACCAGACTTATATAGGCAAAGATCACAAAGGTATTGATTACATCTCAAGGTTTTGAATGAGGAACCTGGTTTGCAAAAAAGCAGTTTACAGAAGCAGAAGCAGCATGTTAATTACAGTTTTGGGTCTCGGGGTCACTGAATTGACAGAAACACATTATCTAGAGCCCTCGGGTCTGGAATGAGGAACCTGCGTTAAACTTAGGCATGTTATCTAAATTACAGTTTTGGGTCTCTGGAACACTGAGTCAACAAGGATACGTTAACTGGAGCCCTCTGACCTTGGGATAACTGTGCTGTCCTTCCCAGGTAAAGGAAAATGTGCTTTCTAAGACCAGTATGACCACAACCTATGGGACATTCACATAATCAATAGGCCAGATCTCCCTTTTAATCTTTGTTTTAAATTGTCCTATATCATATCTATAAATTTTAAAATATATATATTTTATTGATTTCAGAGAGGAAGGGAGAGGGATAGAGACATAGAAATATCAATGATGAGAGAGAATCATCGATCAGCATAATTGATCAGCTGCCTTCTGCAAGTCCTCTACAGGGGTTCGAGCCCACAACTAGGACATGTGCTCTGACCTGGAATCAAACCATGGCCTCCTGATTCATAGGTTCATGCTCAACTACTGGGCCACACCAGCCAAGGCCATATCTATAACTTTTTAATAGTAGAGGAGTAGATTATATAAAACTAGAGGCCTGGTGCACGAAATTCATGCACGGGTGGGGTCCTTAAGCATGGCCGGCAATCAGGGCCATTTGGGGCCTTCCTGCCAGATGGGGGGAGGGACTGCAGGAGGTTGTCTGGCTACTGAAGGTTGGCTGTGGGAGCACACTGACCACCTGGGGGCAGCTCTGCATTGAGCATCTGCTCCCTGGTGGTCAGTGTGCATCATAGTGAGTGGTCATTCCGGCATTCTGGTCGCTTAGGCTTTTATATATATAGATTATATTTAGCTCAGCCTAATTGTGAATAACACTTTTTTTATTATGCTGTAGATTTGTTCACAATGCATTTTATCATGGGTTGTTTTCAAAATCTTGTATTTGTTTTTAATTTTTATTTAAAATTAAAGTCTGGCAGTGATTGGAAGTCTTTTTTTTTTTTTTTTAAATGCAAGCACACTTCTTTGAACTCAGCTAATTTGCTCCCTTAGTGATTCTCTCAATGCAGTTACTCAGGTGCAAATAAACAAATTAAGACCTGGGTCTTGGCTTAGATTTTAAGCAAAGACTGGGAAGAAGCAGGAACAAAGATGTGAAACTTTAGCCCAGGGACATGCAGGCCATAAAAATAGGAAGAAAATCAGTGGTGATGTGTTCTATTTTTTTTTTTTATTATTTTTTATTTTTTTTTAATAATAATTTTTATTTCTTAAGTGGTTCCCAACCTTGGCTGCACATTAGAATCACCTGGGAATCTTTAAAATCCTGATTTCTGGGTCTCATCCTCCGGAAATTCTGTTTCTTTGTTACTAATGTTGTGGCCCCACCCCATAACAAAGAAACAGAATTTCCGGAAGGTGAGGCCCAGAAATCAGGATTTTAAAAAGATTCCCAGGTGATTCTACTGTGCAGCCAAGGTTGAGAACCACTGCTCTACACATTTACTCTATTTTACCCACAGATGATCCTGCTAACCATTAAAATTGGCGTGGCACAGTGGTTATAGAGTCGTCCTGTACACCGAAGGGTCGCGGGTTCGATTATGGTCAGGGAGGTCAAGGGCATGCACCTGGGTTGCAGGTTCGATCCCAGGGGCGTGGCGTGGCCTGCGGGAAGCCTTTCACGTGGATATTTCTCTCTTCTCTCCTCTCCTCTCCTCCCCTCCTCTACCCCCTCCTTTTCACTCTGAAAAATTAACAGAAAAAAATATCCTCGGGTAGGATTTAAGAAAAAAAGCCCCAGCCTTACTAAGTCAGGTGATTTCCCAAGACAAGTTTTCTGTCTCCCAGATACTGGAGGTGCAGAGTGGTGAGGCCCCTTCAGGCTCAAGACTACGAAGGTGCGTTTGGATTCTGACAGCCTGGCTCCCTGCGCAAAGGCTCCCCAGTGGTGTGACTTTGAGCAAATTACTGAACCACTACAAGCCTCAAATTCCTCACCAGAAAAGCAGGGGTGGGTTGGCAGAACCTGTGTTTGGGCTTATTTTGATGGTGAAATGAGAGGCGGCAAAAATACTTGGCACATAAATATTGGCAACATTTTAGCTCTTTAAAAAAAAAGTTAAAGGAGGAGGGCCTGTTGAACAGAAAAGGCTCTCCTCCCCCTTATAAAATCCAGATAAACCTTTTTAGAATTTAAACGTGAGCAAAAGAGGTGGAGGGAGGGACGGATTCCTTTCTACCAGTTCGGGCTCTCCTGCTGCCCTCCGCTACCGAGAATCATTTCCTCACTCCTCTCGGGCGCAGCGTGCCCTCTCCGCACCCACGTGAGTGCGATGGGTGGGGAGCGGAGGGGGGAGCAGCCTCCGGCCGCAACACTCAGCGCCCCCGCGGGAGGGAGCGCGCGGCGGGACTGGGGGCTGCGGCCGCGGCGGGAGCGACCGACTTCGCTTTTCCGGGTCCCGTGTGACCCAGCGAGGCGGGTCGCTCTCGGGCTCCGCCTCCAGCCCTCCCGGCTCCGCCTCGGCTCCTCCTCCTCCTCCTCCTTCTTCAGCGCTTCCCCGGGCGCCGGCAGTAACAGCTGCGATCACGCTGTGGCCGTCCCAGCCCGAGCATGCTCACTGCGCGCCCGGGTGCGCGCCCGGCGCTGGCGCGTGCTGCTGCTGCTGCTGCTTTGGGCCGGGGCCGGGGTGCCTGCCGCCGCCGCGGCCCCCAGCCCCGCCGCTCTTCAACGTGAGCCTGGACGCGGCGCCCGAGCTGCGCTGGCTGCCGGTGCTGCAGCACTTCGACCTGGACTTCTTGCGCAGCGCGATGGCGCACATCCTCGGGTGAGCGCGGGGCCGCACCGGCTCTGCGGGGACGGGCTGCCTGGCCCGGGTGCGGGGAAGCCCACAGGCGCGTGTTTGAGCCGAAACTCGGCCCCTTCTCTCTCTCTGCCACGGCCTTGCCGCCCCCCACCCTCCCTCGCACCCCGGCCCCTGGAATGCGAAGGGGTTGGCGGGGATCAGAACTGGTATTTGCTGCTGCTCTAGGCGGCGTCGAGCTCGGGGATGATCCGGCGCGGCTGGTTCGGCTTTCAGGTTCGGTGTCAGCAGCGGCACGCCAGTCCTCCAACATTCCAGGTCGGGGTGGTGCTGGAGATGTTGCCGCGGCCGCTCAGCTACTGAGCCGGGGGACGCAGCCCACTCCCGCCTGGGGGCCCTCCCAGCCCGCCCCTTTGGGGACCGCGCTCGCGCGTCCTCTCTCTCGTGGAAGTTTCCTTTTTCTCTCCTGGAGGCTGCGGATCGGGTGATGCGTAACCCGAACTGTCAGCAACCCGGGGAAGGGGGGCAACAGCATGGCTCCTAAGAAGGAGAGCCGTAAGTCCCCCCAGCTCCCCAGACACACACTGGCACCCCTGCAACCTCTGAGCGCCAACACCCTCGTGGCTTTTCTTTTCCAGGGATAAGGTCCCCAAGTGGGTCCACGCAGTGATGCGAGTGGCGATGGGGGAGCTGGAAGGCTCCCTGCCCCAGCCCTACGCCGATGAGATCCGCGGCATGTGCGACGCCCTGGGCTTCAGGCTGGCGGACTGCATCCTCATCAACCTGGCCTACGAGTCCACCGCGTGAGTGCCCGGCTGGCCGGCGACTCTGGCCACGCGAGTGGGAGCGGACTTGTTTCCAGGGAGACAAAAGCGGGGTGGTGTCTGGGCTGCCCAGAAACCCGCAGCACTTCTCTTTGCTTCTCTGGTTAAATCTGAGCAGCGGGTCATGCCTGGGCTTCCCGCAGGCAAGCGGCTTCTCTGACCTCCACACTGAGCTTTCCCTCTACCTGATGCCCCCTTTCTCCCACCACCAGTCTAGGTGGCACCCCACTTTGGAAACTCTGCGCAACGTGTACTTTCCAAGAAGTTTTTGGAGCTCACCCCACTCTCACCTGGACCCTCTAGTTAACCCGGTGACCCTCGGGCCGCCCTAGCACTGATTTGTCCCTGCAGTCCTTCCTCCCCCATGTCTGTCATAGCTGGTGATCCGGATTCCTCTTTCCCGGTCTGCTCCCTCCAGGGCTGGGCCACAGGCCAGCCAATATTTGGTGTGCTGAGCGGGGGTGACAAAATGCGGGGCACGGACTGGAAGCAATATGGAGTGCCTGGTGGATCCCAGGCAAAGGGCAGGGAAGCCGAAAGTCTCCATGGGCTCGGTGACAGGTCCTGGAATTAAGAGGTTTCTGCCTCCAGGGCTTAATTGTTTTGCTACCAGACCAGCCTCATCTAGTAACATCTTGCATTTACTTAAACACATTGCGCACCAGTAGTTTTATTGCTAGCTTTATCCAGTGGCCAGGTAAGTTTTTATTGAACGAGTACAAAAAACATTTTACATAAATGTTAAAGGCACGCTTTAAAATTAAATACCCATTGCATTTTGAAGTTATTTATTACGTGTTCTTACAAGCTAATATCTTTTTAAAGTATGATACTTTGTGAAACACTGTGTAATATGAAGGGAGAATTCTCGTGATTCGTCCGCAATGTGGTAACAGCTTCTGGCTACCAAAAGATTGATGAAAAAAGTTATTGGGATAATGAAACTTTACTGCCACTACCCCCTGCCCCTCCTCCCCTGGCATCTTCCAAGAACAACTAGGCAGAGCAGGTTAACATGCATTGCGACTGCATTTCTCCTCAGGAAAATGTTTTAAGACACAAACTTGTTAAAGTGCTTTTCAGTTGAACTAATTTTGCCACTCTTTATCTCCCATTGTTTCCTTGTTCTGGCATGTGTCTTTCTCACTGAAAAGAAAAATCGATTTTCTTTTTTAAAAAAATATATATATTTATTGATTTCAGAGAGGAAGGAAGAGGGAGAGATAGAAACATCAATGATGAGAGAGAATCATTGATCGGCTGCCTCCTGCATGCTCCCCACTGGGGATCGAGCCTGCAACCCAGGTATGTGCCCTTGGCTGGAATCGAACCTGGGACCCTTCAGTCCGCAGGCCAACACTCTATCCACTGAGCCAAACTGGCTAGGGCGAAAAATGGATTTTCATATACACTTTCACCTTCTTTTGTTGGAGTCACTGATTGAAGCAAAAGTTCCAGGAAGAATATTATAACTTTGGGATGTGATGTTAAGGTACATATTGAATTCCCTATCAACACAAAACACAGGCAGACTCCACTAACCTTAACAAAGGAAATGTTTTATTCTCATTTCTGATGTCAGTTTGAAGGCTTTTCGAATCAGGATAAGACTAGCTACCCCATATTGAGCCGGCTGGGTGCCAGGCACTGAAGATGGTATTACCTGCTGTGATGTGGAAACCAAGCCGCTCTGCTAAAAGCACGTGTGTCTCCATTGCGCCACAGTGCCTTTCCCAAAGCAGAGCCCGGCCCCCAAGCCCCCTGTGCTGATGGGCTACCTCATCTGGGCATGACACGGAAGTAGTGTTGTCTTGCCAATTTTGAAAAACCAAACTTTGCTTTAGCCACTTGCAATGTTTTATCAGTCCCCTCCTTGACATGAACTCTTTGAAGTTAAGATTGGAAACCTTGGGAAAAACTAGAACCTTACCAAGCTTCCTTCTTTAAACAAACAAAAATTAAGTAACATTTCTTTTCTCCTAACTATAAAAATAATATGTAATCATTCTAGAAAATTAATAAATACAGAGAAGTGAAAAGAAATTAATGATATCCTGTTACTCAGAAATGGCCATCAGTTCTTCAAGGTGTTTCCTCTCAGTTTTGTGTGGATATACATAGCTTCTTCCCCATTCTCCAGAATTGCGCATGCTGTATGTAAATATCTTTTTCACATAACCTTTCATATCCTCAAAGAATTTACTTACCTTACCACACCCCTTCCTTCTTCCTCAAAGGACTTCTCTCTGGCTCCTTCCTGTCAGCTCTGTGCAGAGTTCTAAAGGGGACAGGAAAAGTGCAAGCCCCTAAAGAGTTGACTGTTTTTCCAAGGAGAGAAAATGAAACGTTTGTGGAACAGAACGGTTTAGTGCCAATCTACTTGCTCTGAGAAGTTCATGGGATAGAGAGGTGACCTTGAGCAAGCTTTGAACAATGTATTGAATAGGCTACACTCTGCCATGCAGAAGAATAAGCAAAGTTCAGTTCTAGTGGAGCCCAGATGGGTCAATTCCAGATTTAGATTTAGGATGAAATTCTCTTTCCATATGTTTTCAATGCCGTGTGTGCTGAGGGCAAAGGTCTAGTAACACTGAACGCTGATGCGCTGTGTCCAGTGTGTTTTCACCTTGAATTGTGAGTCCATAGTTTCGTACAAGGATTATATAGCGTATGTGTCCATTGTAATGAATAGTTGTGTTTTACTTTAACGATTTATCTTAAAAATGAAAACCTCATTTTCCTTTTTCTTATTTTTCTCATTCATTCCTGTTGAACTTTCCCCCTTTTCTCAGATTCTGCACCAGTATTGTGGCTCAAGACTCCAAAGGCCACATTTACCATGGCCGGAATCTGGATTATCCATTTGGGGATTTCTTACGCAAAATGACTGTGGATGTACAATTCTTAAAGAACGGGCAGGTATAGTCCATACAGCATAAGATTCAGGAATCCGAGACTTGATAACCCAAGTTAGCAATCATGGCCTGCTACTTAAATGTGTTATCAGTTTAAGATACAAAAAACATCAAACTCCTGGAAAAGCAAAACCAGAAGAGAGGTTTACATCAATTATGCTTATAGAGAGAAGAGTCATCTGTTATTATTAGCATAGAGAGGTCAATCCATATTCCTTGGGGAAATCTCGATGAGGGTGTGGTCTGTCGTCCACTTATGACACCAAGCCAGCTCTTTCCTCTGCTTGCCCATGTTCAGGGGGGCGGAAGGCTGTGTAGTGTAATGGCTAGAAACCCAGTTTTGGGGTCTGACAGTCCTGACTTTGAATCCTGCTTTTGTCACTTATTTCCTTTATGAACCTGGGAAATCACTTAAACCCATTTTGCAGACTATAGTTCAGAGAGGTTGATAATTACTTTATGGTGATAGTTATTTTCATCATAGTAAGGTCTAGTAACACTGAAAAGAAAACCACTGTTGAGCTGTATTCTGTGGTGTTACTTATTAAAGCTATAATCTAATAGGTACTATTGTCACATTTCTATATAAACTTTTAGGGAGATGGCATTCATCACTATTCATTGATTATACATAGCAGGCTATTGCTATGAAACAGAACAGAGCCAAAACCAGGTTTTGGCTTTGAGGGACATTGTTTAAGGACAAGGACTATATTTTGTTTGTTCTTTGCATTTAGAGGTTGAGTCACAGATATGAAAAACTCATTTACTCATTTGGTCATCTGCTTTTACAAAGAGAATCTCTTATTAAAAGTTCGAACAGCACCGGGTTTCCCACATGCTGCCACTTGTAGGATGGAGCTGCTTAACCTTCTTTGTATGGGAACCCCTTTGGTGAAGCTGCTGATCCCTTCTTAGAATTACGCTTATAATACATAAAATAAGAGGTATGGGATTGCAAAGAAAACCATTAAGTTGAAATACAGCCATTTCATTATTTTATTCTTTTAAAAAATATTTTTTATTGATTTCAGAGAGGAAGGAAGAGGGAAAGAAAGATAGAAACATCAATGATGAGAGAGAATCATTGATAGGCTGCCTCCTGCACACCCCCTCCTAGGGTTCCAGCCCGAAAACTGGTCATGTGCTCTGACCAGGAATGGAACCATGACCTCCTGGTTCATAGGTCAATACTCAACCACTGAGCCACACAAGCCGGGCAATTTTATTTATTCTTAACACATTAAATAGTAAAATTTGGCAGTGGCTTTAATAACTACCATAATTTTCAGGATAGTGATAAGTGTGAATGATATTTCAAGATATGTATGCATAGCATAGCAAGATAGGTATGATACCATTATGTATGTGAAAATACCTGCAATTTCTGCTGGTGGCAGAATGACAGGCACTGCTATGATGACATGGTTTATTGCATTATTCATTACAGAAGAAATGAAATTTCAGTTAGAAGTTAGTGAAAATAAAGATGTACCTTTTTTTCCCATCCAAGGTCATAGGTCCACTGAATTCTATCCAAGGTTAAACCTTCTACAAGGTTATTTCAGAGTTTTTATTCTATTATGTTGGAACCTTAGAAGAAGAAAAAAATCCATGAAATTGTGGGGCGAAATAAGGTGATTTCAAAGTATATTTGGTTGGAATGGTAAAATGGTACCTTATCTCTTGATTTCAGGTTGCATTCACTGGAACCACTTTTATTGGCTATGTAGGATTATGGACTGGTCAAAGTCCTTACAAGTTTACAATCTCTGGCGACGAACGAGGTAATCAAAATGAACGCCCAAGCATCCCTGTTCATTTTTATCCGAGTACTTCACTCACTCACCCAACAGAACATGTAGAACAACTACTACACTCGAGGGCATTCTGATGAGGTTAGACGGGCAGTGGGCACGTCAGCAAGGAAGATGACTGCAGGTAGCTATACATGCAAGGAAGTAAAACAGGACGATGTGATGGAGAATGAAGGAGGGGCAGGACGGTTACTATAGCTAGAGGGTCCAGGAAGGCCTGACTCACGGGATTTCGCCAGACCCCTGCCAGGCTCCATGCATCCTGATGGGTTCGGTAGTGTGGTTACAGAAGGGAGTAAGGAGGGAGGGGAGGGAGGAGGAGAGGAGGGCTGAGGCCATGGTGTAGGTCATGAGGAGTTTGGAATTTAAGCTCAATGGAAGCCCTTAAGGACTTTAGGCCAGGGAGTGAACAGATATTATTTATATGTTAGCTCTCACTTTGGCAGCTCTGAAGAGACTGAATTGTGTTGGATTAAGATGGAAGCAGAGACGGTTAGGAAGCTGTTGTGGTGATCTGGAGGCTGTATGATGGCCTTCCACAGGCAACATCTGTAAAGCACTTTGCAGTGTACTGTGCACTTTCTCCTAAGTGTCCTCCTTAGAGCCTTACAACAGTCCTTCTGCATTGGCAGGGCTGATATTATTAACCCGTTCACGATGCAGAGGAGGAAACTGAGGCTCAGAAGAAATGAGAGCTAGTAGGTGGGGAGGTAGTTGTCAAATTGATTTCACGGGTCCTGGCCCAAAGCTCTGTTATACAGCCGCGGCCCTTCCACAAGTCTCAGGGACATCGTTCAGTTCCACAGTATGTGGGAAGCCCAGAGATAACCTCTTGTCTCTGTCCTCAGGAGCGTACAGCTGAGTGAAGGAGACATACACAAAGAGTCTCTTAAAGTTTAGTGTTGGTCATTGATGAACCCCATTGACTTCCTGTTATTGTTTCCTCTGATTAGGTTTATTCTTTTTTTTAATTTTTATTAATAATCCTTACCCAAGGATATGGAGAGAGAGAGAGAGAGAGAGAAACATCAATCAGTTGCCTCCTGCATGAGAGAGAGAGAGAGAGAGAGAGAGAGAGAGAGAGAGAGAGAGAGAGAAAGAAACATCAATCAGTTGCTTCCTGCATGAGCACTGACCAGGGATTAAACATGCAACCTGGGTATGTGCCCTGACTGAGAATCAAACCCTCAACCTTTTGGTGTATGGGACGACGCTCCAACCAACTGAGCTACACTGGCCAGGGCTATAGTAGTCAGTTCTTTATCCTAATGTATTTCTTCAACATTTTCTCAAATGTCATCTCAAGTGGTACTCCAACCACAGCATGACAGTTATTAAAATTTTACACAGAATGTCTGTAAACACATGTGTATTTATTAAAAAGTGGGCTTTGTTTCCATCATTTTGCAACTCAGATTGTTTAACAAACTGGTTAGTAGAACCTAAGGTATGAGCAGTTTACAAATAATGCAGTTACTCTGTAACATACACATTTAATTAAGTACTGTCAAACTGCTTTTTAAAAATTTTAAAAACCTTATTTGAACGAAAACTATCTTTTAATCTGCTAAGATTGAGTTGAAATGCCTGAACAGTAAGGTAAGATCTCTTGGTTAATGGAGATAAGATATTCAGTTACGCTTCTGGGCATTATGGAGAGTGGCAGCAGTGCCTCTAACCACCGTGAGAAGGGGTAAGGATATGAAGACTAACTAATGGCATAGAGATGAAGAGCCTTAACTAACCACCTGGCGGTTAAGATCTCAGACTTCAGAGCCAGCCTGCCTTGGTTATATCTTAGTGCTGTCACTTGCTAGCTGGGTGACCAGGACCAAGGTGCTTAAACTGTCTGTCTGTACTTCAGTGTCCTCATCTGGAAAGCAGGGGTGATAATCACTGTTGTGAGGATGAAATGAGTTCATGTACATGAAGTGCACAGAGCAGTGCCTGGCACACAATAAGGGCCAGTGGAACATCTGTTATTATTACCACATCCCCAAGCCTGACTTCTGAAACCCAGATTGGAGTACCCATCCACCGTCTCAGCATCTCCACCTTGACGTCTACCCAGTATCTCAAACTTCACGGGCTTAAGCAGATCTCTTGACTTTTTCTTTCCTTTTCTTGCCCTCACTGTGCCTCCACCCAAATCTGTTCCTCTCTTGGTTTTGTGTGTCTTAGGAAATGGCACTGCTAATCAACTGATGTACCAGGAGATTCTTTGATCCCTAACTCCTGAGTGTAGCCAGCTCTACCACCAAAACGAGACTGTCCTTGTCCATTCTGCCAACCTTCAGTGCTAGGCTACCTGCATCGCGCCGGTACTGCTGCCGTCCCTGTTCATCCGGTCTCTCTGCTTCTCACCCTTCTATAGTTCCTTTTTAACCAGCAGCTGGCACGGTCAGGTTGTTCCTCTGTTTAAAACCTACAGTGACAGCCCATTTCACTTATAACAAATCCAAAGTCCTGACTCTGACCATAGAACTCTACACGATCAGCTCCGATACCTCAGTTCACACCTGTCTCCTTCTCCCTCACTCCACCTGCCCCTCACCAGCATTCTTTCCTTTCCTGCATCTGCCAAGCTTGTTCCTGTCTTGGGTCCCTCAGCCCATCTTAACTCAGAGAGGCTGTCCTTAGGTTCTTCTTGAAAGGAATCTTCTCTTGTCACTCATGATTATATTATCCTGTCTCATTTTCTTTATTATAGTTATCCCGGTCTTGTTTATTTAATGGTATGGTCAGCTGAGCACCAGGTGTCAGGAGGCTTTGCTAGAAATAAATGGCAACAAATTATTCAAGGGTTTTAGGGTTTGCATACCATAGACACAACTAGGCAATACCCAGGGTGTTCTGAAGAAGAAAGAAAAGGGAAGAGTTTTTATAGCAAAAAGTACATTCTTCAGAAGGATGCGTCCTGCATTCTTAGCCCCTGGCAATCTTAGCAGATGGCGATCTTCCAGATGTCAGGGGTCTGGATAATGGATGCCAGGCTGTTCGGACATGTGAATATTCTTTCCTAAGATCTTCACAGGGTTATCTATAGGATACAGCTACTATCTATCTACCTCCCCAGGCATTTGTACATTACTGAAAAGTTCAAAAGTTCAAGTTCCCTGGCTAATTAAAGCAGGAATAGAATTGTTTCCTTCTGCCTCAGCCTACTTGATTTTAGTAATTGAGCAGCTTGACTGTAGTGACTCCGTTTTAGTTCTTCGCTCTTCCCTCAGTATACTAGTTTCTTCTGTCCACTGTTCAATTCCAAGGGTCTGGACCAAGTCAGGATATGCCAGTGTTTCGTGAAAAGGCCGTATGAGCAGTGTGGCCCCCAAATGTCCAACGAGCTGAGAAGCCAGAGAAAGAAGCAGACAAGTCCAGCTTGTCAGTTTAAAGAGTTTTAAGAGGGAACTTACAGAAACACAGTCCTAGGCAGCAACAGGAAAAAATGGATTACCCCATAGACCACCTGTTTTCTACCCCGGAGGAAAGGACCTGTATTTCCAAGAGGCATGTGGGGGTGATCAGGGAACAAAAGGACCTGATACCTGGTGCTCTGGTGCTAGGGAGAGTTAAAAAATAGGTAATGTTGCCCCTGAGGAAGGACTAAATGGTGGGAGAAGGTTAATGGTAGTTCCTGATTAACTTGGAGCCTCCCAACGCATTCCAGAGTCCCCCCAGGGAAAGGGGGAGGGGTCAAGGATTCCGGAGGATTAGTTTGTGTGTTTTATTTGTTGTTGTTGTTAGAATAACTCAGCAAAATACAATTCATTTATTATTGGACAAAATAAAATTCATTTATCAATGATGAGAGAGAATCATTGATCGGCTGCCTCCTGCACACCCCCTACTGGGGATCGAGTCCATAACCCAGGCATGTGCCCTGACAGGGATTGAATTGTGACCTGGTTAATAAGTTGATGCTCAACCACTGATCCATGCCGGCTGGGCAGTTTTTGCTTTTTTTCACAAGCAAAACCTTTTTTTTTGGTTCTCCTTTGAGGTTATGATGAACCTGGGAATACCACAAGTAAAGTCAGAAGTAGGACAGAGAATGCTCCAAAGACTGGTTTGGTCATCCCAAAATCATTAAAAATGGCTGACCCCCCCCCCCCCCAAATATATACAGAAATATAAAATGTAAATAACAAATACAAACACATTTTCCTTTTTAAAGTACTTTAAAGAAAAAATGCAGGACCTTGGAAGTTTGGTTCTTTTTTCCTCCCCTGCTGCAAATTCACATTGTGGTTTTGGCTGGGCGGTGGAGCGTGCATGTCACCTGCAGGTGGTGATGCCCCCACGTGGGTAGGTGGGCAGGAGTCTCTATGCCAGTGATGGCGAACCTATGACACGCGTGTCAGAGGTGACAGGCGAACTCATTTTTTTGGTTGATTTTTCTTTGTTAAATGGTGTTTAAATATATAAAATAAATATCAAAAATATAAGTCTTTGTTTTACTATGGTTGCAAATATCAAACAATTTCTATATGTGACACGGCACCAGAGTTAAGTTAGAGTTTTTCAAAATGCTGACACGCCGAGCTCAAAAGGTTCGCCATCACTGCTCTATGCGAAGGTGACCACCTTTAGATTCTGAGACGGGAAGTGGAGGGAGAATAGGTCACGGAGGCCTTTTTTTTTTTTAAGTTTAACTTTCCCTTTTTGGCTGTCTAGTCATCCTCATCGGTCTTCTGCTTCTTGGAGGGTTAGTTTTAAGTGGAGTCAGCTTTTCAGGGAGTCAGCTCTGTCTGAACAGCCACATAGCAGATGTTCAATGCTTATTTCTTGAATGAAAAGTATTCTTTGAAAATAAATCCCCTATAGAAAAATTTCAAGATGTTAAAAAGTAATTTTGGGAAATGATTGTAAATTTGTTTGTTTTTTTTTTAAAGTGAGCCCCAATCAAACTTAAAGTCATGAAAGATATATATACTCTTTACAGTCTTCCTAATACTTACTGAGCCACTTCTGATAGTTCCATAAATTTATTTTGCCTGAGGTAATTCATAGAGTGATTTCCTTTAAGATAATTATCATTGCTTCCCGGCACCAGAAATTCTGTGTATAGATGTGATACACACACACACATGTTTACACAGAACACAGAATCTTTGGTGCCTGAAAACAATGCTTTTAGCTTCATCTTTGAAAACTGGATGCTAATAAAATCACTCTTCATCTACCAACCTTCCCCCCTCCGCCCACCAGCTTGGACTATGAGAAGGAAGCAAGACTTAAGGAATTTAAAAAAGTGGCGGCAATTGTGTGTACACTCACTGTTCCTTCACCTCGGCAGATAAAGGCTGGTGGTGGGAGAATGCGATCGCTGCCTTTTTTCAGAGACACTCTCCGATCAGCTGGCTTATCCGCACTGTGAGTATATTGACTGTGGAGCCCACCTCACCCTGACTTCATCTTCTGTGACGCTCTGTGTCATCTAACAATGTTGTTCCTAACGTAAGAAGCTCCTGCAGCCCCAGCTGGTTTGACTTAGTGGATAGAGCATCGGCCTGTGGACTGAAGAGTCCAGGGTTCGCTGAAACCGGTTTGGCTCAGTGGATAGAGCATCGGCCTGCGGACTGAAGGGTCCAGGGTTTGATTCTAGTCAAGGGCACTGCCTGGGCTCGGTCCCCAGTGGGGGGCCTGCTGGAGGCAGCCAGTCAATGATTCCCTCTCATCATTGATATTTCTATCTCTTTCTTCCTCTCCTTTCCTCTCTGAAATCAATAAAAAATATATTTAAAAAAAAAAGCTCCTGCAAAGAATAAGCGTCTAAAGGTTTGCAAAGTGCATATCAACCTTTTGATAGTAAGTTAAAGTGGTAAGGACAGATTTTAATCAGCAGTATAATACTGCAATGGGAGAAAGCGTGACTTGCACTCAACTTTGATTTGTACAGAGGTACCTGGGTGTTTTAAAGGGAGAGTGGGTAATGGAGGAGGTGGGGGGAACACAGGAGAGTCAGAGAATTGACAAATTACAAAAAGCCGAAAAGAGGGGTTGTTTGTGTAAAACCTGAGTTTGCTAACTGTTAGGCTCCTTCCCTCCAGCAGACTGGGGGACAAGGGCCCTATCTTCAGGTGTTGGCTGAAACAGACGGTAACTAATTATTTTGTCAGTGTCCAGGTAGGAAAAATTGTCTTCGGCCCTTCTGGGTTCTTCTGGCTGGTCTAATAACCAAATTGACATGAGACAGATTAGCAGAAGAAACAATATTTAATAACGTCTATACCTCCTGTATAACACCCAGGAAAACTGTAACTCTCACCAAAATGGTGGAAGCCATCACCTTAAATACGTTCACTGAAGACAAAAGGAGACGTTGAGGGTGGGGAGTCAGTTATGGGAGGCAACCAGGAAAAAGTATAGCAAGAGTAAGATTTTTGTTTGTTTGTTTTTGTTGATTTCAGAGAAAGAAAGATAGAGGGAGAGAGGGGTAGAAACATCAGTGCACACCCCCTACTGGGGATCAAGCTCACAACCCAGGCATGTGCCTTGACCGGGAATCGAACTGTGACCTCCTGGTTCATAGGTCAGTGCTCAACCCCTGAACCACATCAGCTGGGCAAGAGTAAGATTTTTAACAGATCAGTAGTTATAAAATAGTCATGGGGATGTAAAGTACAGCATAGCAATAGAGTCAATAATATTGTAATAACTATGGATGGTGCCAGGTGGGTACTGGAAATATCAGGGAACACTTTGTAAAGTATATGATTTCTAACCACTATGCTATACGCCTGAAACTAATATAAAATAATATTGAATGTAAACTGTAATTGAAAAAATTTTTGAAAAGTAAGATTTCTATGCAGATTTGAGTCTAAGCCTTCTCCACTGATAACAGTTTCTAGAGATTCATATACCCTTATTCTGGTACAGTTAGGGAGACACCCTCACAAATGGAGAGTTCTCTGATGAATGGAAATGCCTTTTATAAAGGGTAACTTCCACCTGTTTTTCAGAGCTTCTGCCATGTCTGCTGTTTCTTAAAGATAACCAGCTTAAAATAATCCTCATGCCACAGAGACATATTTGGGGAGGCAAATTCTGCTCCCCTACAGCAGCCTGGGGTTTTCTCGGGCAGTGACTATAACGGGGGGAGGGCTAGCGTCGTAGGGATGTGGCCTTGAGCTGTTGGAAACTGTTAGTGTTTGTCCCAGTCTTTGTAGGCCGAGGTTAAGGCCTGATCAAGAGGAGGGCTCAGAGGAGGCTGGCCAGAGTTTGGTCAAGGAGAGAATCTTGGTCCTAGGCTCTAGTTTTCCAAAATAGCTGATTGAAATAAGAGATAATACTGTGCTTTTCTACAGACATAGATATACCTCCCCTTTAGAAATCCCAGTGGCAAATATTCGAATTAGCAAAACAATTACATTAGAAGGTAGCTCTACACAAAACAAAAGGAGCATCTGCGTTACAGGACCTACCAGACAGCAGAGTTCCAGGCTGCATGTAAGTTGTCCTTCGACCATAGAAGGCTAGTGTGGCCCAGTGGTAGAGCATCAGCCCATGCACCAAAGGGTCGAGGGTTTGATGCCTGGTCAAGGGCATGGACCTGGGTTGCAGGTTCATCCAGACCCAGTTGGGGGAGCATGTGGGAGGCAACCAATTGATGTGTCTCTCTCACATCCATGTTTCTCTCTCCCCCTCCCTTCCTTTCACTCTCTCTAAGAAAATCAATGGAAAAAAAATATCCCCTGGTGAGGATTAAAAAACACGGGGCTATTATGAATAACCTGCCATAATTTACATAAAGTGAAATGCATAGATATTAAGAGTTTAGTTCAATGTGTTTTAACAGCTGTACTCACTCATATAGCCATGCCTGTAACCACAAACAAAATAAGACACAGAACATTTTTAAGTCCCTGGAAATTTCCCTAGCATCCTTTCTAATCAGTTCCCAACCTCCTCTGACACCCAGTCTCCCCCCAGGAAACCACTGTTTGACTTCTATCACTACAGGGAACTTTTGCCTGTTCTAGAATTCATATAAATGAAATCATAGTATATGGACTCCGTTTCTTGCACTCAGCATAATGTTTTTCAGATTTATCCATGTTATTTGTGTTACTAGCTCGTTCCTGTTATTGAAAAATATTCAGTTCTATGAATATTCCACAATTTATCCATTTTCTTGTTGATAGACATTGATTGGGTTGTTTCCAGTTTGGGGCTATTATGAATAACCTACCATAGAAATTTTTGTACAAGTCTTTTTTTTTTTTCTGTTCATTAGATTATTTATTCACTTGATTTTTAGATTTACTAGTTGGTAGATGTGTATTTGTTGTTCATAGTTTGTATCTTTACCATTTTCTTCTTCTTCCTCTGCTTAAAGGATACCTTTCAGCATTTCATATAATATTGGTTTAGTGGTGATGAACTCCTTTAGCTTTTTCTTGTCTGGGAAGCTCTTTATCTGACCTTCAATTCTGAATGATAGCTTTGCTGGATAAAGTAATCTTGGTTGTAGGTTCTTGGTATTCATCACTTTGAATATTTCTTGCCACTCCCTTCTGGCCTGCAAAGTTTCTGTTGAGAAATCAGCTGACAGTTTTATGGGTACTCCCTTGTAGGTAACTGACTTTCTTTCTCTTGCTGCTTTTAAGATTCTCTCTTTGTCTTTTGCTCTTGGCATTTTAATTATGATGTGTCTTGGTGTGGTCCTCTTTGGATTTCTCTTATTTGGGGTTCTCTGTACTTCCTGGACTTGTAAGTCTATTTCTTTCACCAGGTAGGGGAAGTTTTCTGTCATTATTTCTTCAAATAGGTTTTCAATATCTTGCTCTCTCTCTTCTTCTGGCACCCCTATAATTCGGATGTTGGTACGCTTGAAGCTGTCCCAGAGGCTCCTTACACTATCTTCATATTTTTGGATTCTTTTTTTTTTTTTTGCTTTTCCGGTTGGGTGTTTTTTGCTTCTTCGTATTTCAAATCTTTGACTTGATTCTTGCAATCCTCTAGTCTGCTGTTGGGGGTCTGTATAATATTCTTTATTTCAGTCAGTGTATGCTTAATTTCTAGTTGGTCCTTTATCACAACATCGAGGGTCTCATTAGATTTCTTGAGGGTCTCATTAAGTTTATCGGCGGTTTCTAGAAAATTCTTGAAAAACCTTAAAAGTGTGGTTTTGAGCTCTATATCCAGTAGTTTGCTTTCCTCCATTCTGTCATTTGTGTCCTGTTTCTTTGTCACAGCACTACTTTACCCTTCGCTGTGTCAATAGAGTGGCTTTCTGTGCTAGGTGTCCTATAGGGCCCAGTGGCTTAGCCTCCCCAATTACCTGAGGTAGCCACTCTTGGTGCACCCCCTTGTGGGCTTTGTGCATAGTCTTGTTGTAGTTAAGCCTTGATTGTTGTAGGTAACTCTGGGAGGGATTGACCTCCAGGCCAATTGGCTGTGAGAATCAGCTGTGTCTGCAGTGGGAGAACTTCTGTGCTGGAGACACCCCTCCGGGGCAAGACTTGCTTCAATGGGGCTTTGGTGCTCACTGAGTCTGCCCCCTGAGTATGTCCTTTATGAATCCGAGGAGCTGCAATCTGGATGGTCCCACTCCGACCTGTACAAGTCTTTTTGTAAACATATGTATCCATTTCAGTTGGGTCCATGCTTAAGGATGGAATTGGTGGGTCATAGGTAGATGTGTAATTAATTGAGGTATATAAATAAATGCTATACAATTCATCTATTTAAAGCATGCAACTCACTGGTTTTTTATATATTCACAGAGTTGTACAGCTGTCACCAATTTTAGAACATTTGCATTCCCCTTAAAAGAAACCCTGTACTCATTAGCCGTCACTGTCTATTTCCTCCATTTCCTGAGATAAACATAAGGTACATGTTCTCACCACAATTTACCTCTGAGTGAAATAAGTCAGCCTTGCTTCCAGTTTTTCCTACTGATGTTCTTTTGCTTTTTTCTCATACAGTTCTGTTAGAGGAATGCATGCTTTGATAGCAGTTGGGGGATGGTATAGGCAACAAATAAAAAAAAATGAAAATGTTTCATCAGTCCTGTTGCCTCACTTTATAATTTTTCTGAGTTCAGAACAAATTAACTCAAGTCTGAATACCTCCCCGCTAACAGCAATATGTATAATATGTATAAGGCAGGGAAACGTCCACATGTCCCTGCCCTGGATGGTGGGTTATGGTGCTGAATGTGGTGCCTTTGCAGACACGAATATTTTGAGTTGCTCTTTAGTTTGACCCTATCCTCACCCTGCCCTTGACACTGTGCCTCAGCGGTGTTCAGGATGGGTGAGCAGAAAATGTACTGCTTTCACACAGGGGTGAAGGTTGATTGTGAAGGCGCGGGTGGGACGGGCAGGCCGTCCACTGCAGGACATTCCTGTGCAATCAGCTGGAGGAGGGTCATACTTGGAAGCTGAAGATCAGGAAAGTGATTCCCTAACAGTCCATGGGAAGTCTTCATGAAGCCCCAGGGGTCACTGAACACCAGTTCAGCTCACTACTCTAATGTAGCAGCTCTGAGACTTTGCCAAACCCTTCCATAGAGCTAGAACTCTCTTCCCCATCACCACTCCCAACCCCGCAGCTACCACTATCACCACTCTAACTTCTGAGTCTCTTTGGCCTCAGCTCACGTGATACCTTCCTGAGATGCCTCCTCGATGCCATGGGTGGGGATGGTTCCCTTGCTCTGACTGCCATAGCGTCTTTTCCTTGTTGACACTCATTACATTGCATCACCATTTTCTGTTGATTTTCCTGTCATCCTTAGAAGTTTGGGGAGAACAAAGCTGGATCGGTCGTATTCACTGCTGTCTCCATACCAGCATGGTGTCTAGCACATAGTAGTACTCAAGAAATACCTGTTGAGCCCAGCCGGTGTGGTGCAGTGGTTGGGCATTGACCCATGAACCAAGAGGTGACCAGTTCGATTCCTGGTCATGGTATATGCCCGGGTTTCGAGTTCAATCCCCAGTGTGGGGCGTGCAGGAGGCAGCCAATAGATGATTCATCATTGATGTTTTTATCTCTTTCTCCCTCTCACTTCCTTTCTGAAATCAATACAAATAGTATTTAAAAAATACCTGTTGAAAGAGCAAATGAATGAGGAAACATGGGGAGTGGTCTGCCTAGAAAAACACGCGGCCCATGTTTTCTGAGCTGGGCCTAGAGCTTGTCAGCAGTTCTTCCCTTTTGTGAGAAAAATCCTGTGCAGTTGGCTCCCCGCTGAGGTTTCTTCCATTTCAAGAGTCCTGATGACAAGAGGATGAAGTCAGAGCAGTTCAAGGTTGTGATCATGGGTTCATATATCAGGAGGATGTGCTTTGGACCCCTTGGCTATCAACTGGTATGACTGATGATGCTAACGCAGGTTTGTCTCTGTTCAGACCCTGAGCGAATCGGAAAACTTCGAAGCAGCTGTTGACAAACTGGCCAAGACTCCGCTTATTGCTGATGTGTACTACATTGTTGGCGGCATGTCCCCCCGGGAAGGAGTAGTCATCACGAGGAACAGAAGAGGCCCGGCAGACATTTGGCCTCTAGATCCTTTAAATGGAGCGTGAGTAGAATGAAAGGCTCTGGTCATTTCGCATTAATAATCTATATTTAATTGATGAAACTGGAGGTATTTTTCATTTTTGTATATTTCTTCTTTACTTAATGTCTCCAATGACCTTGGAAAGATAAGATGATGTGCTGTGTTGTAGGTGGTTCCGAGTGGAGACAAATTATGACCACTGGAAGCCAGCGCCTGCGAGGGATGACCGAAGGTGGGCCTCTCTCTGCTTCCCGGTATATTCTGTGGTCAGGAGAACGTACCCCTCCTTTCACAGGAACTATCTAGCACTACAGGTGCTATCCCCTCCCAGAAAATATACCTGGGCCCCCTTGCCAGTGCCAGGTGGCGGTGAGATAGAGTGTGGTGGGGGACACGGGGGAGAGCCTTTTGGCAGTCGGTCGGGTATTGGGAGAGTAAGGCTGGCTCTGGCTGGTGGTGGGGGAAAAAGATGATTTCAGTTCTCTTGAGTCTCTGTTCAGCCATCTGTAAAAGGAAAATGTAGAGCATATTCATGGTTTCTATGTAAGACTTTTTTTTGGAAGGAAAATCTTTTTCATACTGAAATAAATAACTAGACCAGTTGGGGGCTTTTGTTGTCCCTGCTAATTTTGCAGCTTCTGTGGTTATAAGTCAGTGTGTCCCCAAAGAGCAGATATTCCCCTTGGCTTTACAGCCCCTCGGGGTTTGGCGGCAACTGTTCTCCCCAGCCCAGCTTCCCTGAGCAGATGGGCCAGTGGGCGCGACTGTTGGATTCGTTCCACCGAGGGGGTCCGGGACTAGGGAGGAAACATGCTTGGGGGCCAAATCCGTTTTGAGGAACGGGAGGTAAGGAGGCTGGGCCTCCCACTGAGTCTCCCCAAATGAGAGCTGGAGGGACTCAGGGTTTCCTGAAGTGCCAAGTGACCTTTGACCATTGTCCTTACAGAACACCCGCCATCAAAGCCCTTAACGCCACCGGCCAGGCCAACCTCAGCCTGGAGGCCCTCTTCCAGGTAACTTCACTGGGACGCCCAGTTTTCGCCCAGGACGTTTGGTGTCTTTGTTAGTAGTGATGTAAGAACATTTTCTCCTGTAAAGTCAAGCAGATGTGGTAGAAGCAAATGCTAGAATAAAAGTTTTACCTGGTTGAAAACATTTTTTAAAAAGTCAGATGACATTTTCTGAATTTGCTTCTGTGGGTTGAAGTATCCGTCTTCACCTACATTTTTCTGCTTGTTAGAAAAAGGGACAGATGTGATGAATGGTCATTGTTTCGGAGGAGAAAGGATGCAGAAGTCTGTAACTGTCACTCTGAGACAGGCTGAAGTGTTAAAGGGTTTTATTCTTCCTATATGGATTTCTTCTCCACTCTGACAGTTTTTGTAATATGATTTTCTCCTGTGCAGGTTTTGTCGGTGTTTCCGGTGTATAACAAGTAAGTGGCATCTGTTCACATCTCATGTGCTCTTTGGCTCAGCAGGGATCTGAGGGCTCCTGTGGAGCAAGCTTTCTAGGTGCTGTGGAAACAGCAGGGAACAAAACAAAGTCTGCTCTCACGGGACTGGCATTCTGCTGGCCCAGGAGAGGTAGATAAACAAGTATGTCATAATCAGGTGACAAGTCCACCAAGAAAAACAAAGATAAAGAAAAACAGGATGTTTTCATCCTAACTCTGTGTGGGAGCCCCTTCATTTCACTGTTAAGATCTAAACTTGAGACAGCTTTGGCCTCCCTTTGTCTTCCTGGGGAGGTTCTGCTACCCTGGGCTCATTCCGCAGATCACTCAGTATCTAAGTTCCCATGCCCTTGACAGTCCACAGCCTGGGACTCTACCCACCTCGTTTTCTGAAGTGAACCACTGGGCTGTCACCACCACTGCCACAGGAAGCTCTTAGTTAAAGGTGAGAGGCAGCCACCTCCAAACTCGTAGGAGGACCTGAACTTCACCATCGCCGCAAGGCTGGACAGCTCAGCCTGCCGGTGATCGTCCCCCTCGGGTGCTGTCGATGGCCTTACCCACACCCGAGGCCGCTCACGAGGAGTGCTCGCACCTTGTTTTGCTTCTGTGGTAGGACTTAACTGACTAAAATAAAGAGGAAGCATCTGCAAGTCGATACAGAGTTTTAGCTTCTGCTCAGTACATCCCACAGCCGAGCATTGCCTACCGACTCATCAGTCTCACTTCTGCTTTCTCCAAGACAGGAGTATCAAAATAGTATTCTTCAAGAAATAGCGAATGCAGGTAAAACCTGCAAAGTGGTTTTTAGTTTCAAATACCCAATGGCTTTTTTTTTTTTAAACAATCCTCTTTTACACAAGCACAAAATAGGGGTTTTCCTGATGGCCTCTAAAGTAACTCGTATATGGTGCTTTAAGGTTTGTTATGTGTAATGACATTTTCAAAACTGGTGTTACTCTTTTTACTTTGTACAGTAGTAGGAATATATATCTCAAAATACCTTTTCTAAAGTGTTTTTTTAAATGGCCTGATGAAAAGATGAATGCTAAACAGTTTGTTCCAGAAACAATATTCTAACAACCAAATACAGAAAAACCAAATTACCTAGTCAGTCAGTATTTTACCACTCTACCCAAATGAGCTACTTGGGTAACAAGTGGTACCCAGTGGTATGCTAGTAAACTAGCTGTTTGCTGGGGAGCAAAAAACAAACAAAAGACCCCCCTGATTTGTAGTATTTATTAGCTCCCATGGTATAAGTACTCCTACCTGGGAGTACTTATTTCAAGCGTACAATTGATTTATAAATGTCCTGCGTATTTAACAGCTGGCTCTCACCAGCCTGTAGGAACTGACTCCAAATGCAACACTGGCTGTACCCTTTCTGGAAGGGCACAATTTTGCCCTTTTCATGTTCATTCAAAAGATAGGGGTTAAAAGCCTGTTTTTGTGTTCTTATAGGTTTTTTTTTCTTTTTTTAAAAAATAAACCTTTATTGTTCAGATTATTACAGTTGTTCCTCTTTTTTCCCCCCCATAGCTCCCCTCCACCCGGTTCCCACCCCACCCTCTGCCCTTACCGCCCCCCCCACTGTCCTCATCCATAGGTGTACAATTTTTGTCCAGTCTCTTCCCGCACCCCCTGTACCCCTTTCTCCCCCGAGAATTGTTAGTCCACTCCCTTTCTATGCCCCTGATTCTATTATATTCACTTATAGTTTTGAAAATAATTATATAAATTATGAATATATATTTTCAAATTAGTATTATAATAAAATACTTATGTTTACTTTAATAAAGTATTTCCACGCTGTGAGTAACCCTTATAATTTTAAATAGCTGCATAGCAGTAGAATGTAGTATAATTGAGTTAAGCATTTTCCAGTTGTTAGGTTTTCCTCTATTAAAGCTCTGAAGTAAACACATTTGTGCAATTCTCTCTCCACCTTATCCCTCCCACCCCCCGCACCCTCAACTTTTTAATATTTCCCTTGCCTGGATTCCCAGATGTGGGGTTACTAAGTTAAAGGCTGTGAATGTTGAAATGACTCTGAAATGTTTTGTTGAAATAGAATGTTAGAAATTATAAACAGCTTATGGAGTAGCATTTTTCTCTATTGTGTAATTGAAAGCCCAAGAGCAACTGCATCTAAAGAATAATCACCACTAAACTTTAGACAATAAATAAATTTTTTAAAAAAGAATAATCACCACTGAGCCAGAATTAACACAGATCCCTGACTCTCGGGCCCTTTACTGTAAGCGGTTAATAGAAATAAGCCTGAACAGAAGTTAGCTCTATGCTGTGCTATAAAATTACACTCACCTGCAGTAGAACTCCATGCTCTGCTGTGGCTAAAAGCGAGAAAATTTTAAAACCGCGATGGAGAATAGAATTATCACTAAGGTAAATAAACAGCCAAGGTCCTGCTTCAGGAAACATGCCCTTAGTGCTTTCTTTAGCTGAGTATCTGATTCAGCTGTAGGGCCCAGAGCTACTAACTCTGCCTGTTCCTGAGCAACCCAGCTCCAGGTGCTTTGAACATCATCCCAGCTAGTGTCCAGCACAAGTGGTAGGTGAAGGGAGTGAAGGGAAGAGGCCCTTGTGTGTGCACCTGGGCTCAGGTTGTTGAGGTCTCCTGCTGGGCAGAATGATGCAGAATGTTGAGTAAATGACATCATACTTTCATCCTTGGATTTGAGCAAGTGGGCCTCCTATCTTGATTCCTGAGCCCTGGCCATCCTTGACCCTGTCTTCATATAAGATTCTCCTGGGCCAGGTGCATTTGTCCACCCAGTCTGGCTCAAGTACTCGGGAATTCTTAGCTCATTTCTGTGGGAGGCGGTGGTCTCCTGATGGTGGTGTGCAGCCATTGTGGGCATCCTGTGGCCAAGGGATGTTTGCTGGGGGTCATGCATGAAGCCTAGATTCAAAGGCTGAGGTGTCCACATACATGTCCCCCCACTCCCCAGCAGCGTAGGGCAGAGCAAGGGGTGAGGGTCAAGGCTGGACCTTCCTCAGTGCCCAGCATGCAACTCTGAGGAGTCTGAGGATTTTAAAATTTGAACGTGGCCTTTCACAGTGTCATCAAAATAGGAGGAACGATCACCTTGAGTGTGTGGTCCCTTGAATTATAAATTTTAAATATTCTGACATATATGGGCCTCTGTTGGTATTCTTACCCTAGGTCCCAAGTGTTAGGGAAGGGCTTAGTATTTTTTCTCTTCTTTGGAATCCTAGGGAAAATGATGCGTATATAAACATTTCTCTCATTATTTTCAGCTTCACGGTTTATACTACCGTAATGAGCGCTGCCAACCCAGACAAGTACATGACGAGGGTCAGAAACCTGGGTTAAAAGGAAGTAAGCAGAAGAGTGAACTCACCTGCTATGAAAGGTTTGTTAAAGTTTATTGGGGGAGGAAGAGGTGTGTGTGTGCTGGTATTTCTCACAGAAGATGGTAACATACTTAACATTTATACATATATGATGTTATCATATCATTTGTGTCAGATGAATGTCACTATTAGGTATTTATTTCGAATTGTTTGCATGAGAGCGAATCTCCTGGTGCCTGGTACCCTTTGCTCCCTTATTAAAACCTACGCTCAGGGCAAAGTGTTATCTCTTCACTTATATGGAGAGGAAAATAGCTGGTAGGGCTTACGTGTCCCCAGAGGAATAGTGAGGCAGGCCCATCACCTTTGCAGCGTAAGACAGATACTGAGGTCACGGGATGCTTACAGAATTCATTTTAGGCATCAGTGAGCTC